TGCTCTGTAGAGTTCAAAGAGCTCTCCCTTTGACGGCAAAAGTTTGTGTCCCAAATGCACTCATAAATCTTGTTTCTTCTTTGCTGCCAACTGTGTTTGCAGTGGTTGAGCAGCACAGAGTTTTCATTGTTTCTGCTGCTGTTTGCACATTTTTTTTACATTTCGGCTGTTTCCTCCAGTTACTCTGAGGATATGCATATCCAAACACAGTCTTTGAATTGAACAACAGTTTATAACATTCTATCTGAATGTGATAAATGTGCTCAAGCTGTGATTTACACTGGCTCTTTGATCACCATCATTTATATACCTCTTTACCAAGCGGCCTCAGAATTGTCCTTACTGTGTATAGTACTTATGTAATAAGGGTGTCTGGCAGAGGATTAATGCTGGAAAAAGGTAAATAGAACTTTTAAGCTTTTTGTTGAAATAAGAAGACAAATTACTCAAGGAACGGAGCAATGCTTGTGCTGATTGGTTGTAAAACTTGTGGTGGCTGCCGAGGTTTGCCACTCATCACTATGAAGGTAAAGTCCAGTCCAACACAAAGAAAACTGTGACGGGATAAAGTGACATGTCTGGGAGCTATAGAGTTGCACGGAGCGACAGAGACTGGGATGCTCATGCCAGAAACCTCTGCCTGCTGTCACGCTGTCGTGTTTAGACAGTCTGATCAAAGCCAAATGGCTCCATCCAAAAAACCAGACAACCTCTTCATATCATTCTATTTTCTGCATTAGCTGCTACAAGCCAACAATCCAGCCCATTGGATGTGGGGTTCTGACTTTGTTTTTCCCAAACAAATCAAAAAGAAAAAGATGAGCTTTGCCAATTTGGACCCGTGCAAAGCTTCAAGTGCCGAGAGAACTCGCAAAAAAAAATCTATTCATGGAGATATGGTGACCTTCTTTCCAACCTACAAGTGATCCTGAGCCAGAAAGTAGGTCTCTCTGCTTGGAATACATCAAATGTCACGAGTGTTTTATTTCTTCGGAGGATTTGTAGAGACAGAAGATAAAGAGAGCACCTCAGAGACAGAAGTGTTTGTGAATGAATCAGCGGCTGCCCATACGTTACAGCGCAGTGCTTCACATAAACACTGATCAGGCCTCGTCATACTGAGTGGGCTGCAGAGATATTTTAAGATGTAAACAATTCCTGAGGATCTGGGTCACGGTGTGTGTGTGTGTGTGTGTGTGTCAGTGTGTCTAAGCATAATCGTATAAATCCAGAACTCCTTCGTCTACTTAAGAGCCACTTGTTTCCCAGCCGACATCTTACAGAAAGTAAACGGTCACCACTTGGAGGATCAGAGGTGGTGTTTTCCATCCAGGCCTCCACCACGGGGCTTTCCTGGCACATTAATAAAGCCACCTAGCTGTGTCTATCCTCCCTCCAAGCATTTTTATCAAAACAAAAAAAACAAACTTCAAACAGCTTGCATTTTGCTTGGAAAGGAGCAATTAATTTTGTTCTATGACTAGCAGGGTTTGTGCACAGCGTCAGCACAAGTCCAAAGATCAGAGTGTTCGGAGCCCTCTTGACTGCCATCCAGTTTCTGGTACAGACTTGTGTTTTCACAGTGCCTGACTGTGTGCTGTTAGTGCCTTCTCTCCAAATCATCGGGGTCAAGGGGTGAGGTTGGAGCTGATGTTCAAACTGCCTGTCGAGCATGTTTGAGAACTAATTCACAAGTTGTAACGCAGAAAATGCTTTGACAGATTTGCAGCCAAGTGCCAAGTCATATTTTTGTGCAATCCTTTGGAGGCTTTGTAGTGTTTTTTTTTCATGCACAATCTAGATCCCTGGCCATCGCTGTCTATGTGTTGTAATTCAGAATGTTCTCAAATCAAGTTTGAAGTTTCAGCCTAATTCCCTTCCAAATGTTCATGTGGAATGATGACAATGATCCAAAATGAACAGTGCCAATGACTTAATATCTTGTTTGGAGGCTTGTATTGCTATCACTTTGATCAAATATTTGGCCTGAGATTTACCAGGATTCATTCTTTCATTTGGAATATAATTACTGAGCACTTGTTCTGAACACGTACAATATTAGACAGGAATTAAATAATCTCCTTACTGTAATCAAAGGACCTGGATAATAAAAACTGATATAATTTGATTTAATTTAATGATTTCGACATCTGTAGGTTTGGATTTTTTGGGAGAGAATTTCACTTCATTGGTATGTCTGCATGCAACAATGTCAGAGTTATGGAAGGAATTCTATTTCTAAGCATTTAGGTTTGTTTTTTTCTCTCATGGATTAATCATCTCCTGGTTTGCCACTCGAGATACATGGAAAACGTTACTACCTGTATCATTAACCTTTGGAAATGATGGGAGAAAGTGATTGATTTAAAGTTTTAATCAGTGGCTGTAGACTCTCCTGAGGTGATTTAATTAGGACAGCATTAACATTCCCCTGCTGTTTTGTTCCCGGTGGCCAAATCCCATATTGATAGTTTATCAGTGCATGATGTTTGTAGTAATGCCATGAAATTATGGTATTATTATGATGTTTTTTAACAATTTCCTTCCAGAAATTAAGACCATATTCTCGTAAAAATAAAAGCAATTCTCAAAGCATCTTAGCCATTACCACATGATGAGAAATGGGTGACGTGCCAAGGCGGACTTTTATGACACTTACATTTTGGGGAAGGTGGATAAAGAAATCATACAGATTAGATCATGCTTGTGGTCAATCTCATGATGTGCTCACATCACACGCCCACTATAATAATTCCTGAAATAAGAGTGATCACAACACTGAGATATTTGCCTCATGGAAAACACTGACACAACAGAGGTGGTCACTCACCTCTTAAAATAGGTTTGTCATTTAGTTTGATTGGGATTTTTTACTGCTGTTTATAGAACGTTTGCTGGAAGACAATGAGATTTCATGAGATCATTGGCCAGAAACCAGAAGGGAAACAGATAAAAGCAACGCCATTGTCATCCTGTGATACTGAACAGATAAAGTACTAAAATGATCAGTAATAACTGTTCACAAAAACTATTTCCACTTTGGAGGTGAAAATAATTTCTAGCCTCCAACAAAGACATTCATGACAAGTTTTCACAATAATAGATTATTTTTAGGCCAATTTACAGGCTCTTTGATGTCAGTAGATAATGGGAGATTTCAGTATTCACTCTCATTAAGCTTCAAGATTTTAACCACGATGGAAAATATAAAAACTCTTACAATGAACAGGGTGAGGTGTAGTCAGTTTGTTCCATCTTAATCAGAATTAGGTGGAACTTGGTTGAGTTGGTCCAAATTGCTTTCAAGCAATCCAGAAAAAAGGTAGAGCAATGGTTCCTACTTGGGCTGCATGCTCCTTGAAGTTCCCAATAATGACATCAGACGTGCAGAGCAAATCATGATTTCCCTCTGTGCCCCCTGATCTGAGGCAGAGCGGGTAGGGGTGAGCTCATGTTGGGAGGAAGTAACTGTGCTATTTAAAAGGCAGGAGAGTCAGGAGGAACAACATCTGCCAGAGGCAGGGAAGCGAAGCAGGATGCTTGCAGGCCAGGTGTCAGTGGAAAGGATGGAAAAACCCAACCGCAGTGTAGAACTGGAGCTGCGACTGGGTTCGCCACCTCCTGTCCGCCCTGTCCCACCATGACACTAGAACCTCTTGTTTTCCCGTGTCACGTCCCATCCCCGGGACACACCCTAGAGATTCAGCATCTCGGTTTGGGTCTGCCGGCTGTAAGTGTTTTGGAACAATGACGTGACCTTTTTTTCAAATGTTTGTCTCCCTGTCCCCCTTTTTCATTTGGTGTCCTGTTCATTTCGGCAGCAGGAATGCGGTTTGTAAGCTATGAATGAGGAGACTTGCAGAGGCTTGTGCTACATGGAGCACAGCTGGGACAGGGCGTGTGTTTGGCAGTTTTGTTGTTTGTGAATGTGTGGACATGTGCATATTTGTGCCCAGTATACATGCACACATCTTTATTGGCTGATTATTGTTCAGTGTCTGTTGGTCAACTGAGCTTATTTGGTGCGTAAATATGTGTTGTGTGGCTTAGAACCACACATCGTGAATACCGATACGTGGTTTATAATCTCATTTGGGGTTTGATTACAGCCTTGAGCACCTTGCTGGAACACAGGTGTGTTATGTAGAGCTGTTGGCCTGATCTATCTGGCATGGCTCTTCTTTGTCTTGCTCTGCTCACTCCCTGTCAGGGCAGATCAGTCGGATCCAGATGTTTTTCTCAGGGCTGGATTCCAGCATTCCACAATCAATGCCAAAGCCCAGGTGGGGCCGTCTGTCTGTCTGTCTGTCTGAGATGCATGTACCTCCTCCGGGTCACTCACATGAGCTCAGGCTCCAGGTTGTGCATCTCAGGCTTAGCAACTGTCCTCAACTCAAATCCTCGCAGCCGGGGCCGAGCTTTGTTCATCAACTCTACATTCTTCCTTCATTCCTGTGCTAATTTCTGGATGCTACTCCCTGGCTGGCCACAGTCAGACAAAACAGGGAGTTCATAATCTTGTCATGCAAACTCAAGGGGTTATGGAAAGATCTAATGGGTGTAAGCGTGAACCTTTGTGAGATTCCAGCAGCACTGACCATCAGAATGGGTCATTTTTAATCCCTTTGGCTGCCTGACACTTTTTTTTTTGTTAATCAGCAGTGAAGGGTCTGCTCTTGTGAAATGTCATTAATATCAAGCCCAGTCTCGCAGTAATTTGTAATGGTCTTGCCTTTCAGACATGAACAGATGTTAACTGAGAATCCCTGTGCGCTTAAATAATGAAATGGTCTATATCTGTCATTAAAACTAAATTATTCTTTAATTATGGCACATCATCCGTTCAGCCAGTTTTCTAAAGCTATTAAAGTGACGGCATTCTTTCTTGGGCAACCATTGGTCACACCTAAATTCTGCAAATGAACGTACCTTTTTCAGAATGTTTATGTATAGGAGCATTAATCTGAGATCACATGTCTATGTGATCATTTGACTTGTAGGTCCCAAGTGAAGCGGACTCCAGACTCCTCCCACCAGCAGACTGGGACATCTCGGACTGTGAAGCGTTATCCGTCATCCTCCGGACCCATAACCTCCAATGCTCTGCCTAGCAGCAATGGCTACGCTAACGGCCATGGCGGTGACCACAGGGCCTGGTATGAACACAGGAGTGGACACAGAGACGGACACAGCCACAGGCCTGCCACTGACGGCCAGCAGCACGGACAGGTCAGCAACCTGTTACCACAACCAGGTAAGAGCGAGAAGCCTCTGACATCATTTTACTGTTGTAGTCAACGTTTCCTCTGCAGAAAACATCTTCAAATAAACTTTTCTCATTCGGGGACACTTAACAGGGTTCATGATACGCTCTTTGTTATATGATATATGAGAAATAGAAAATTGATAGCAGCTGCCCTTTGTGTTATTATCAAACACAGACATTTTATCAGTTCCGCCTCCTTAATTTGCTCTCGCACACTTACATCCAGCTGTCACTTCTGCACATGACTGACATCGAGTCCTAATTTCTCCTCAGACGATTAATAGAAATATGACATTGTCTTTCCTAATTTTTACCCTTTTTTTTTGGCTCTTTCTCCTTTCTCTGTTGTACTTTCCAGAAAACACAGATGTCTGCTGCTCGAGCTTCTTTCTTTTTTATTTTTTACCTTGTGCCAGGCCAACAGCTGTTGAACAGATTCCCACCATTACACAATGTTCACTTGCGCTTACTCTCTCTTTGTCTCCCTCACACATCCACACATCCACAACACCTTCTGCCGTAGATGAAGGGCCTGGACGCGTTCCCGTAAACCTAACAGTATTCTTCTCTCGGTTCGCGGGCCCGTGGCACATTGCTCGCTCAGCTGCAGCGTTGCCACTGGCCAGCCGTCAGCGCACACCCTCGCACGCTTATAAACCTCCCTTTGCCCAGACGGGGAGTGTGTCGCTGCGAGGCTGAAGGGAGGAAGGATGCAGCCTCTTTCCAGTTTGTGTTTGCTGCTGCTCCTTCTCAAGCAGGTGTGCGTCTGTCTTCCAGGGGCCAACCTCACCTCCGGCCTGGACCGCATTAAGATCGTCTTCACACCTACGATGTGCCGAACGGTGTGCAATGCTGGCCGCTGCTACGACAGCTGTGAGAAGGGAGACATCACCACAGTCTACAGCGAGACCTCGCACCACCAGCAGCAGCACAAGCAGCAGCAGCCAACCAACCAGGGCTTCAGACTCTGTAAGTGCCCGCTCCAGGCCTCTGATTCTTTGTCTCTGCTCTACGCAGCCCTGTAATTTCTCACTTCTGCCTTCTCAGTGTCTCTCGTGTTTACTTTCCGATTCTCACACACGTTCCGCGCGTCTCCATTCTGATGTCTCATTCCTTTTTATGGGGTGAGCTAGACCGAATGGGTTCCCAGTAGCATGGTGTCTCTCTCCGTCCTGAATAGTGAGCTCAGAGAGGAGGCAGAGTGGTGGAGATTAAAGGCTGAGAGCCGTGCTAAAAAACTCTCCCTGTCAAGGAGAAAGAGAGGCGTGGAAGTGCAAGAGAGGCCGGGGTAGAACAGATTAAAAATGGGCTCTGTATAAGGGGGCTAATCTCCCTTCATAGACACACACGTGGAGCTGGTGGTCCCACGCTCCCAGCACTTAGCCCCATCTCCTTGCGGTTTGCACCTTGTGGTTGGCCCCGCTGTTAACCATTTAACATGCTCCCTGGGAGAGCGGGAACGAGCGAAAGAGGAGAGGGAGAGGCAGAAGGAGAGAAAGAGTAGCAGCACGAACAGGATTTTATAGGGCTTACATTAAACCTGCAATTTATCCAGGAGGCTTTACTCAAAATTCACACAAGAGTGTCCAAGGGAGGGGCTGGGGGGGGTGGGGGGGTCAATGCCAAAGGGAGGGTCGCAACTTCACTTGTTTCTTAGTTTTCTCATCAGCGTATAGGGTCCGGCTTAAACTAACTAACACTTACAGGATTAAAGGTTAAAGGTGTGCATACCACACACATATATGAGTCATATTCGCTTCCACCGAAGAAATACAAAGCCAGACAGGCGGTCAGGCATTCGACCAGCCTGCATGCAAATGCACTGACCTGTTTAGTGAGAATCTGACTGACTTATGAAAATATAAACAGGTTGCCGTCGCAGATTTATGCGCCCATTAAAGGGGCTTTGGGGGATGACGCTGATATTCCAAACACTTCAGAGCCCCGACACAGGGCTTCCAAAAGATTACATTCCTTTTGCTTCCACGTCTTCGGCAACATTTTGTGATTATGCCCCATTTCAGTCTCCAGTAATCTCCCTTCATTATGTAAAAACATGTGTTAAAGAGGACGTTAAAAAGAAATTGCTTCCCAGTTAGACGTGCATCCTGTTGTTGTGCGTGTTCGTCAAGGAATGCCAAGTGGACAGCAAACAGTTATCTCATGCTGTTGTTATGTTGCGTACACAGTGCATTAAATCTCTCTGGATGATTGCAAACTCTCTTGATTCACACCCCATATACAACACTCACTTTAAAACCAGATACCAGACCGAGCAGAAGCCTAGAAGTCTGTTTATTGAGTGAGAAGTGTCTGTCTCTTTGGTCATTACAGGCTGTTAAATGGACAGACAGATAGGCAGACAGGGAGAATGGTGTGTGGAGTCAACGTTAAGAGCCAGTCTAAGAATAGTTCCTGCCTCATACTGGGTCGAATCTAGCCTGACAGACCAGTGCAGACATGTATCCCACATTAAGAAGTTTTAATGGCCCGTCTTTGAGTTGATAATTTAGCCGGCATGTCAAATCACATGCCGGCTCTTCCTGTGCGTCTGGACAACAATGCTGGCCCACTTCGGTCTCTGTCTGGCCGTTCACATCTTTTCGGTTGCATTGCTTTTTTCATCTTCCTCTCTGTTCCTTTCTCTCTTCTGTTTTCAATCACTTCTGTTAGCATTCTCTCCCTAATCTCTTTCAGTCCTTATTTTTTACTTTTTCTATTTTTGTTCCACTCTTCCCCTTTGTCCTGCCCTAGTTTCTCTGCCCTTAATGCTATTTGACAGGAGGCTAATTTCTTTGCATGCAATCGAGAACAGTGTCCCTCCATTCGTTCCTGTTTGTACCCTGTTAGTGTATTTGTTTCGATGAGGCAGAGGAGATGCACCCCTTGTATGATTCCATGACAGGCACAGCCTCTTTCAGCATCAGTATGTGGGCCATTCAGATCTCCAACAGTGCTGTAAAACAGTCCATCAGATTTGTGTTCTGTGTTACTGTAGAGCTTAAACAGTACAGTTTTTTTTTATCCTTTGTGCTTGTAGTACATTTTAATACATTATTGCTGTATTGTATTTTCGTGATTTTATTTTCTTTGATGTTCTGAGTTTGGAGAGGTCCTGTCAGAGCAAATCTGTAAACTGGATCAGGCCCAGGTATGCAGGGTGCTGGCCTGGCACACATCTCTGATCCTTAGAGATAGGGCCAATGAAAGGTCTGTAAAAGAACCACTGTCAAACACCATCTGGCCACTGCTATTTTCATTCTCCCAACGGTGAATTGCAAACTATAAATCAAATTGCGGACAGTTTATTTTGGGATCCAATTTACTTGGAGGCAGTTGTTCTCCTTTGAAATTTCTATGAGATTAGATAGTTTGGCAAAATCTCATTTTGTCTCCCTTGGCCAGGAAGCCTTCCATGAAGCCATCAGTGCACTTTTTCTGATTTCGTATTTTTAATTTTTTTAAACATTATCATTTTGCCATGCACATCCCTGGTTAGGAGCATGTAATTACTGATGAGAGGCAAAACATGCATATGAAGGAGGCAAGCATGCACTGCAGTGCAATGCCTCTGCTCCTGCCCCCGGGGCGAGGTAGAAACTTTATTAGTGTCACATGGAATAAGGTGTCAGGTAGTGCTAAAGTAGAAAACAGCATGACCACAGCTTCCCATTTTCAAATAAAGCCTACCCACAGGAAGCCTAAAAGCATACCCTTCCTAATAGGACTACCCCTTCTGTTTCCTATTACCAAATCCTTGTGTGTGAAGATGCTGTGTAATTAGAGATGGCGTGTTGTGTTTGCTAATCTCTCGCTTATAAATGTCTTCCTTTTCTGCAGTCTTCTGTCAAATCCCCTGTCTGAATGGGGGCCGTTGCATTGGCAGAGACCTCTGTTGGTGTCCGTCAAACTCAACAGGGAAGTTTTGCCACCTCCCATTGCCACCTCCTGCAAGACCCACTGCTCACAGCCGCAAGGACGCCGGCCACCATGGGCCAAAATCTTCATCCCTGTCCATGTACACCCTGCCTCTTTCCAATCAGCAAGGTAAACACTTCAGCTGTGATCATCGGGGGAAGTCATTCTCCGATTTCCTGTCAGGACAAGAGTTGAAGAGTAAACCTTATATTTTATCCTGAGCTGTTGCTTTTATAGAATTTCATGCTGAGTCAACATGGTTCATATTTGAAGTTTTCTGAATTAGCAAATGACGGGTGCAAACACCATTAACAGAGTTTCTTGATAGTAAATCTTCGTGTTACTCTGCAGATAATTGGAGTTCAGCAAGTCAGAGAGCTGATAAGAACAGGCTGGACTGTCGTCAGTTTCATGGTCTTTGAAAACTTTATACTCCAACAGTAGAGGGTCAAAAGGGCTAATGCTTTTCCCTCAGCAACAATAGTGTTTTATATGATCTTTGGCTCTGTCTCCCCTCAAAAGTCAGCACTGTCAGGATGACCTGGAAATGGCTATTTTCGTTCAACTTGTTATTTGCTTTTTTTTTAAATTTGGTATTTGAACCCTCCCTCTGTCCGTCCACTCCACTTTCACATACGCAAACTCCTTTTTCGTGTGAAGCAACATAATTTTTGCCATTTTCTAAACTCTGCCTCAAGAGTTTCAACATTGTTTACAGTGCAGTGCTCTACTTCTTTGGGTCAGATGTTGAAGTCAGACTCTATTTTGAGCAAATGAACAAGTGGATGAGTCAGTGGAAGTCCTCGCACTGTTTACATAATGCTGCTTTTATCAAACAGAAGTGGTTATCAGAAACAGAGCATGGAATGATAATCTTATATAAATATGATGAGGAAAGATTTGCTACTTGGCTTTTGCTTTTCTGGTATTACTTCCTCAACATGTTTTCATTTCAACGCATTTGGACTCAACTTTTAGAGAGAGTCTTTTTGTTTTTAAAGTCCTACCAAGGAAAGTGCTTTATGTATACACTAAGAAGAAGGAGATTCATTTTGGGGACTTGAAAAAAGTCTGGTCCTCTGCTTGGATGTTGTTCTCTGTGATAAAATGATTCATGAATGTTGGTCAGGATTCTAGGGAAAAACCTGGTGCTCATTGAAGATGAAGAATTTGAAACACAAAAAAACCTTCTAGACATTACAACATTTCCTCAGCTCTTTCGTAAATCAATCTTTTGTATTCAAAATTATTTTATTTAAATGCCAAACTTTTTGTGTCGATGTTGATGCTGTGCAGTAGTTCACAGCTGGAAACTCTCAGGATTCTCTAGATCTCGTAATCTGCAGATGAAACAAGTGTCTGTAGATAAACTTTGTGTTAGATCGCAGATGTGTGCTTGCGCATCTTTTATGGTTTTGCTGAAGATGCTTGCACTTTTGAAAACCACCCACTGTTTTGTTTAAATTCCGTATCCTTTTTTCCTCAAGCATCTCTCCACCCATCATTGGTGAACGTTCACATTCAGCATCCCCCCGAGGCAGAGGTCCAGGTCCACCAAGTAGCTCGAGTCCAACCTGGGCAGAGAGCAGCTACCACAGAGGGGGCCCACTCTGTTCAGCAGCGCTCCCAGCCGGGGAACGGACACGAACACACCAGTGAACATGGCAGCAAACATCCACACACCAACAGGCACAGGAACGGTCAAACTACAGCGCACGTCCACCTGAATGGACATGTTGGAAGATGCTTTCAGGAGACAGTCGATGGGCAGGTATTGTGCCAAACTGGTCATTTTACGTTCCCAAAGTTCCCCAGCCTCCACTTTAATCAGAATTATATCCCCGAGCAAGGGGTTGGTCGTAAATCCTGCCCTTGTGGGCCTCTGTGTCGGTAAAAGGAAGAGACTTTTCATAATGTTTATGCACACAGTATGGCCTGCGCTGTAGATTTATGTTTTTTGTACGGCCATTTTCAAGTGTGTATGTTGCAACAGTTATTTATATACAATAAGTAAAGAAAAGGGAGGGCTTAAGTCTCAGTGGATAAGCTAATCTGGGACTACAATTTATGGAAGCTGAGCTGCCGTTACCCTATAGTTATACAATTGCAACACTGCATTACTTTTACAGTGACATTGTTTTTGCCAAAATTTGTTCCTCTGTTAACCTAATGTGGTTTATGAGCTTTAAATTGAGCTGTGGGATCACAATGCCAAAGAAGAAAAGAACTTCAGTGAAGTACCAGAACGTAGCTTAAGCATTTAATTTTCCATCAACAAAGCCAGATCCTATCTTAAGTCAATTAAAATCGATAAGTTCAATAGAACTTCCCCAACACAATTAACCAAGTGCCTTAATGAGGCACGCCAGGGGGTTCATAGTTAGACTTAGAACTATCTATATCCTCCTCCAACTAAACAACCTCACATGTGTCTGGTTCGCTCTGTCCTTGGAGATGTGGCACACTGTGCTATAACCATATACACGCTTTCCAAGACACAAACATTTGAACATAAACAAGCATGCATGCGCAAATTTGTCATCACCAAACATTCTTTCACAGATAAAACACAGATGTTTGTTGTTGTAGTGTGGCAAGCCTCTGCCAGGCCTAACCAAACAGGATGATTGCTGTGGAAGTGTCGGTGCCTCCTGGGGTCTCAACAAGTGCCAAAAGTGTCCCGCCAAACCAGGTAAGCCCTCAGTGCTGTCAGATCAAAACATTTTTTAAAGTTCTGCTCCAATACACACACGTCTGATCTATTTAGTCTTGTATATCTTTCAGCTTCTGATGCTAATGCCTTGGTATTTTTTCCTATTACAACTGGTCTAAAGTTTTCCCACTCCCAGTACTCCAGGGTTAAGGGATTAGCAAGTGATTTCTTTTAGAATCGTTGGCAGTCGTTGTTTATGTATAGCAGTTTTTTTATCACATCATTTATCACGGGCTTAAACTCATCTGCTGACTGATGATGACTGGCATGCGGCAGTCTTCATAAGACAGCTCTAAGACACACCCCCAGTGCACAGCGCTTCAAATGGAGCTGTTTTCACTTCCATAAAACCAAAACTGGGAAGCGAATGAAAATGCGTTTAGCATACAGATGAGATCCATGTAGGCGTGCCACCCACCCGGCGGGACAGCGCCAGCGTGGCCTAGAGAGAGCGAGTAAATGAACAGCTTTCCAACAAGAGCTGCGGTAGGTTTGAGGAAAAAACAGCAGGGTGGTTGTACGCTGGCAAGCTGAGTGGGTGGCAACGCCATCCTCTCTCGATTGAAACCGTCACTCGGCCTGACAGCTCTATATGTCATTTGGAGTCACCATTTCGACCTCATGAGATATGAATACAGCCCAGTGCTACTTTTCGGATTTCTACATCGTAATACAGGCGTGCCCACAGATGTCATTTAACTGTTTGTGGATGTCTGAGCCACCTTTGACTGGACTTTAATAAGATGCACACATGAACCCACGCACAGATAAAGCATGTCCATCCATTCTTTTCCATCTGACTATGTCTCCTTTGGCACGCCAGATTCCTTCTCCTTCTAAGTCCCTTCTAAGCATGATCTCTTTTGGCTCCCAGATGTTTTTTTCTCCTCCCTCCTTTGAAGCTTGAGGGGTGAAACAGAGTGAATACCCCGATAGCTCATTTTTGTGGCTGTTTTTTGGAGGCAACATGCTGTCGGCCTTGGGGTCACACGCAGGAAGACAGGGAGAATGAGAGAAGAGTCAAATGAAGTCATGTATGATGTCCCCGAAGGCCTCGGAGGAAACTTTAATAAGAGAGATACTTTGAATTCCTCCAAAGTGTTAGTGATCTCAGTTTAGATACACCGATTTGTATCTGAGCTACAGCCCATTCTTCTCTGACTGACTTGAATTAGGTGAAAGCTCTTTAAGTGTTTTACAGGAATGACACGCAGCTCAGAGATGACAGCCTGAAAAATGACGTTGCTCTTTTTTATGTCATGAAAAAGCACTCAATTGTTGGCTTCCCTCGCAGAGCAAAGTCATATAGCTGAATCAAACTCTCCTGTGTCTCCCCATGAGTATGTGATAATTATGCTATAAAAGCCTAGGTCGTGTTTAGGCGTGCATTGCAGTCTTTGGTCAGTTTATGGCAGGTTGCAAAATACACTGCTGACCGAGAGCAAGACTCACTACTTCATATTTTTTATGATACCTACAGAGAACGCCAGCAGGGCTACAATTAATAACCAGTCTCCATCCTGTCTCCACATCTTTGTCCGTATGTTTTCATCAGTTTGACTTGAAACAATCCTATTGATTAACAACATGACTGTTGTGGCAGTAAAAAGGAAATGTGTGTTTGTGTGTGAAGGAAGACTGTCATTATGGAGGCAAGAATGCCAGTGTTTCCCATCTCAGTGGGAGCCGAAGCCTTTAGGAGCCAGGGCCTTTAAAAGTCACATGTCGAGGATTCCTGGACTGTAATGAGATCCAGATCAACCAGAAAGCGTTGTAGTCAAATCCATCCCTTCGGCTTAGACGGTGAGGTGGAGTAGCAAAGCAGCTCTTGCATTTGGCTTCGAACACAGAGATGGTGAATTCCTTTCTGTGAATATGAGAACAAGTCAGTGCTCTGATGAAGTAGCCTCTGATTAGAAAATGGCATTTGCAAATTTGCTACACAAATCTTCCACACGGCATGAAACAGTCAAATTAAGACTAGTGAGCAGTAAACAGATGCAATCTTATAGTTGGAGGCTTTATCCCTGCTGAAGCCAGAGACTGAACAATGCAGAACTGTATTTGAGTGAGTAATTGAGTGACCACTGATGGCAAAGGAGGAGTTGATTATTCATTCAACCTGTTAGATTTCTGACGGTGAAACTAGCAATTAGCATGCCTACACTGTGGATCTGAATGCCAAAGCAAGCAGTCACTGGGCTGTAAACCTCATTGGCTGGCCATTAGCATGCTGAGGCCGACTGCCAGTTAGGTTATCTAATGCTTTGGTCTCTAGTCCACCCAATCTAGCGAGATTAGCTTCTGATTTGGCTTGTCTCTCCAGTCTTTTCCGTTTAATTACAGCTTGTGTCATGCGCTGTTGACTTTGGCAGAAAAGCATCACCAGAGATTGTATCCACCATGATACACCAGTCTGTTTCCTGAAATATAAAGAGTTAGGGTAGGCTTGTTTGTGCAACCTAGGGGTTATCTTAAAGACACTTTTCTATCAGTAAAGACAAATCACTCAGGATGGCTTTCTGTAGCAGTGCTGCTCGACTCTCCCTTTCACCCCTCATATTGTTTCCCCAGCGGCTCATCTCCTTACCTGTTGATATTGACGGGGAGCTCTTCTCCGGTGACTTTCCCAATCTGCAATGCTGGGAAGCATTCCTGGGAGCCAGGCCAGATAGCTCTACGGCCCAAAGTAACCACCACACTCACAGGAGCCTTGGCTCTAATTGTGTGTGGCAGAGGTTGTTTTTTGGTCTCTTTATCTCTGAGTCTTTCTAGAGTGGGGATGCTATTCTTCATGAAGTCCAGACCTGGTCAGTCAGATGAAGCAAATGAGGGGGCCCACAGAGTTCCCCGACATGAACTCATCCCTCCATAATATCTAGTCTATTCCCAAGATCTTCAATCTGACATCCACAGTAGGGCCATAGCTTGTTCTCATTGCTTTTTATTAACTCCAATCAAACAAGAACGCTTAATAGATGAAAAAACGAGATTGAATGGCTTAGTCTTAGAAACAGACAGCAACCGAACACGTGCACTGGATCAATTTCCCGGCAGCTTGTCATTGGGATTAGATAGAAATGTCACATCTCCTTAACAGCATGTGATGCCTTGAAGTTGACTTAGTGTTATGGTTACACAACTAGAATGATGAAACTATTAGCTGGGCATCAGTGCAGCTCGTCAGGGGGAAACAGACTTTACAAATGTGAGAAATGAATCCCAGTTGGAGGAAGATTGATGTGAAATTTGCTATCCATTTCTTAATTGGATTCAAGCTAAGTTAAGCACTGGGAATGCACTGTAGCATGCCTGCGTTTGGAACCTGCCCAGGTGGTTTATTTTCCACTGTGAACTGGAGATTATTGAGGAATGTGGGTCTGTTTCAAATGCATTTGATGCGTGTTACACTGTCATCAGTATCTTGGAGAAGGGCGTTGATCTAAATTGTCAAACTACAAACACTGATATAAAATGCATTCTTTGGCAAATACAAACAATTACAAATATGTTTCCAGTAAAGACTTGATGTAGCAGATTTTAAAATATGCTATTCATCAAAGCTTTTTTTGTCACTGATTCACATGTGTTGTGGATTGGTTGTGTTAAAGCAATACGATCCATAAACAAGCCAAGACTGCTAATGATTGAGCGAATGCAACATGTTGTGACTTTTTCATTGGTTTCATATTTATCTAGGTATCAGGGAGGGGATGATGACATTAATCCCATTTGACCAAACAAATGAGCTTAAGCTTCACCAGGAACACATTTGCAGGGCATGTGATGTGTGCCAGTGTGCTGTGGTTTCTACCAAAGAAGGCATCCTCTTATGAAAGAACATCACGTCCCTCTAAGCTGTTTGTTCCAGTCGGCACAAACTAAGAGGAGATGGCATCGGAACAATTCAGAAGATCCAGAAACCTTGATGGTGATTAAAGAACTTTTTGTTTCTTGTCTGCTCTCATCAGTACCAGTTTGTCTTGTGGGGGTTAGTCAGTCATCTGTGGTCTCCTTCTCCTGCATAAATGTAGGATTTTGAACCAGGACAAAATTGTAGTTAACTCTTGGAAGGTCCTGGAGACGCTGGGGAAGTGTTTGGATTTGACTGACGGACGATTTGATTTTGTTGTCTCATTGAGCAACTTGCTCGCTGGGAGGTATGCTGAGGGATTATACACATTCTAGAAAGCCAGACTTCTTTATGGCTGAGCAGTCAATCTCACTGAATTTCCCTCTCTCCTTTTAGCCTTCCTTAGGCTTTTTCTCTTCCCGTTTTAAGCCATCCTTTCATTTGAATACCCCGCAGAGCCTTACATCGGGCACCAAATATGACGCTCTTATCAAAAAGAGACTGAAGGGATTCCTTTTAGATTTATGTGTACAAAACAGGCAATCCGAAAAAAAAGAGGAATTCAAATTACACTTTCAGGTCAGGGAATTTGAGCAAATATTATTGAACAGTCTCCACTGGAATGGAATTGAATGGAGATGAACAATAAATTAGTGAGGGTTGACAAAATCTTTTGTTGAACAGGGCTAAATGGATAGACAACAATTGGAAGGTTTTGTCTGTACACTCTGTGGATATAGACAAGTCTGGGTCTACGCTCTTTGTAACCAAGGGTGACACTAATGATGCGCAGCTTGAGCTCACTCTTGCAAGCCACTGCCTGTGTAGTTCTATATTTTCAACACAAATGACTGTAGAAAACAAGCATGGGAACGGGCATGTCATTAAACCCTCCAAGGATGCAGTCATTCTTTGATTTTAGTAAAATAAGTAAAGTTCCATGTTTGAGGTGTCACTCATTTTTAGTTAAATTCAGAAAACAAGTTTATTTTTGTTCTAAAACAATGGAAAAACATTGTTCAATCACACATCTTTAATATTTTATTCTGTTAACTAGTCATTCCCAAGCTATGCTAAGTTTCAGAAGCTGGTTTTAAATGCTTACAACATAAAACTGCCCACTGGGTGCAATAAACATCTACTGAACTGAGCTCTGGTCACTCGCACTTTTAGATCCAGCACACTCATAAGGGTTGAGAAAAGGAAAGGTTGAGTTCTCTCTGCCAAATTGGGTCCTATGAGTAAATAAAGCCTGACAAATATATTGTGTAAAACGCTCTAGTACAGTATGTTTGGCGAGAGGCTCATTTTACAGTCTTACAGGTGTCAGATTCATTTAGAAGTGTTAGCAGGCTGCAGAGATCTTCTTCTTCATGCTAATAAGCATTATTGAAACTCCTGGACCTCCCCCACTGGGCTCTCTTTGGCATATATGCCCTGCTGTCACTCACTGTAGACATTCACTGATCCCATCGCCACAGGAGAACATGCACGTCTCCCTACCACAACAGCTCATTACTCCAAAACGTTTGAGGGGGATTAGAGGGTGTGGAGGAAGACAAGAAGGTGGGCAGACAGGAACAGAGGTGTTCCCTCCTCCCCCTCTTTCTCTGGCTGGCCTTATCATACAGACAATCTTCTGCTCTGTCAACCCTCAGGTACACTGACCTTGTCTGGTCGACTGGATCACAGTGGGACTTTATTTCCAGAAAACCTCTATGTGCCAGGCATTCCAATCACTCCTGGGAAAATGACACAAACCGATGACCAATCGTGGGCTTTATCTGGACATAAAATATTTAAAAGATTTCTATGAAGGACTTTTAAACTTAGTCAGATAGTTCCTAATGTAATTTTTTCTTGTTTGATTGGTTGTGGCATTCATGTTTCATATAGTTCAACCTTTGCACCCAAACCTGCCAACTTGTTGTTGGTAGTCAAGCACCTCCCCTTCACAGACTAATACTTCGTCTCCCAAGGCTATAGTGTGTTCCGGCACATAAAAGATTTCTCAGGTACAGCTCCAGGAACATGAAAAATGAGTCCAACATGTTGACTTGCCTCCAGTTTCCCCAGATCTCAGTCTGATCATGCTTTTAGAGATGCATCAGAACACACTCAAACCACTGAGACCTCAAATTGCAAAGAAAGAAAGAGTCTCATTGTGCAGGAAAAATAAGACCCCCGAGAGGTTTCCATACCTCAACAAAATAGAGTTGTCTTGGTGACAGAAGGGGGACCTCAATGATATTAGGCATATAACTAAATATATGTTCGGCATGTACTAATGCTGTTTGGCATAAGAATGCATTTTATGTACTATTATAAGAAAACCAACACATTTCGCCTCATATACTGTGAAAGTCAAAACCAGGCTTATTCATTTTAAGAGCCCCATATGGAGATACATAAAAAAGGCTTGTGGTACTGTTGTGCCAAGATCAGAAAGTACTTTGAATCAAAGTCTGTAATCACTACTTTAAGCTGCCTGATTTGTTACTGTAATGTGAATAGACTACTACTGAGAAACAGCTCAATCATGCTAACAAGCATGTCATCATTCTTTACAGCTCTACTCAACCAAACCCATGTTTTCCTTTCCAAAGTCACAAGTTGGATATGTCAACATGATAAGTAGACAGGATAATCATGTCAATTCATGTCACGAAGCGTTCTGGTACCAATAATCACTCTGTCTTTGTTGAAAAACATATAGATCTTTACACACGTCAGCCTTTTCAGCCGCCGTCTGAAAAGCATGCCGATAGAGACAGGCTCATTCTAATCCAAACAGACTCTCTTTGCCATATGATAGTAAAATTTACCTGCCTGTACATTTAATGGTGCGTGCATAGGTCTGACCGGGTGCCGGATGAATGATGACGCCGTGTTTTCACTGGCTTTCTGGCCGCGCTGGGACTTTAATAGACACACTGCCTTATTTACTGTAGCACCTCTGTGAACCTGAGCTGTGCAAACCTAAAGCACACACGCCATATGACAAAACAAGCCCTTGCCCACTCGTTTTTTCTGAGAGCTGTACGCTGATCATCATTCCTTGCGTGCACAGTTAAACCATTAGTCTCATGTTTACGCAGCCCTGAGCCGTGGTTGATGATAAAGGTCAGGACAGTCACGTTGGCTTCCTCAGCATATTAATTATATAAGCCCCATCTTCATCAGACCCCAAGGATCTTTGTTATGTGTAATGTTATGGGTATATGGTACTGGTAATATGATTATGGATGATGTCGTGTGGCAGTGCTGTCCGATGAATGCTCCTGAAGGCGACCCATTTGCATGGACTCACTTTGGAGTCCCATGAGTCTCAGATGTAGGTCCCCTCCATTTTTCCTCTTACTCACATCTGTAAGTTATATTGTCCCCACCTAAAGCGGAGCCCTTCTTGTCCCTATGTGATGATTGTGTCTAACAAAGTTTGGTCTACTAAGTGGTGCTTTTTCTTTTCAGCGTATGCTGTGATTGCAAATGGGCAAGTGGAGTGTCCCAAAGGTTTTAAGAGGATGAACGCCACACACTGTCAAGGTAAGTTAGAATATATTTCTAATATACTGTTTTCTGGGTGTTAGTATACAGAATTGTTCAAAAGTATTGAAACACTCTTGATTGCCTTATATAGTGCAAAAAATGGGAAATTAGAGACAGCCTTCAGGTTTTTTCTCAGGAAGAGTTATTCTTTAAAGATATCCCAAAATTCTTTCGAAATTGGCTGCTTTTTGTTTTATTTTGCATTAAGATGATCTCACACTTATTCAACAGTGTTGGGGACAATGTCTGGACTCTGGGAGGATTCATTCTTCCACAAGTTCTGTTGCCACTTATGTTCAGTCAAAACATCACCGTCCAAAGAATAACTTCCATAAACCATGGAAAACTATTTCTGAAGCTCACTTTAAAATATTCCAAGCATTTCTGTCTTCTTGAAAGCAAATGTTGCACCAAGTGAATACACAAAAAGTAGAAATGTTAAAGATCCAGTTAAATGATTTACCCACAAGTTTCATTGCATCGATGGTTTATTGTGCATCTGGCCACTATGATAACAAGGTCAATACCACTATTAGAGTAAGGATCACAGCTCAGTCGCCAGTAATCACCAGAGGCTCCAGCTTTGATTGGATTTCGAGTTCTAGAAGAAGCTGTGAGATGTTGTTTCTCAGCTTGTCCAACCTGAAGAAAGCCTTTATGACTGAGGGCCTACTCCTCCTGAAGAATTCAGAGCATCAGTTGTTGCTGGTGTTGGTACACAACAGAGAGACCCCAGTGACAAGTGATGTTAACACAAAAAATAGGAAAATGTGCTCGACTTAAAGGTTTGTCAATGATATGATTAACAATCATGTTCCTTTGGTCCTTGGAGTAAAACAACATTATGTTGGAGTGAACAGCTTGACCACCTTAATGACAGGTCTTGTTCTCAGTTTCAGGTACTTTCTGACCTGAGCAGAATTATTTATGTTTTCAGTTAATGGCTGAAGAGGGAAACATATTTTAATAAACCAAAGACCTGCGTGGACAAGTGCACGCTTGTACTCCAACGGTGTGTCGACCAGCCGAAAGTCGTGGAAATTTATCTTTCAGTTATTCATGCTTTTCTTTTATGATTGTTTCAAGATGTTACTCCCTTTCAGTTGCTCGTTTGTAGACTTCCAAAAGAGCTAAACTGACAGTTACCAACAATATTTACTGAAGTGCTTTAAAGTTTCTATCCCGTTCAGCTGCTACTCCACTCCCAAAAATTATTTCTAATTTCGGGTCTCGCATCAGCTGCCAAGAAGGCAAAATCGGCTTTTTTCTGGGAATTTTTTTCATTACTCACAGGATGGTGTCCAGCCTGCCTGAGTGTGGGTTTCTATTCTGAGCTGCTTGTAGTGTGTTTTCTTGGACTGGAGCAGAGCTGTAATAGGCCTGATTTACTGCTGCTATATGTGTATGGGCTGACTGTTGTGGTTGGTGACGTCCTCCCGGCAGAGCGATAAGATGCCCCATCAGAGCTGAAGTCAGCTCTCTGACTTCAGAGACGATTTCTTATCTTCAGAAGCTCCTTTTGAGTAACTGGGCCGGTCATTTGTAGCTGTGCTTGCTGGATGAAAGGCCTCTACAGATCACATGTTCTCTCATTTGTGGGTGGCACACTGGTACTTGTAGAAGGTCATATTACTCATATACCACTTCAAAAAAGAGATGAGGGAAATCTTACAAAACTCTGGTGACATTCTGGATCAAGCCAATACAAGTTCGTAACAAACTTAAAAAATTTAGATTTTACATTCATGATGTTCATGAGAAACTGGCCTATAGATACAAATCTCAACAATGGCTGTATTCATAGTGTTTCTGTGCTGGAATTGGCATGCTTTTACTATTGTCCACTTAAGTTGTAGACTTTCAGAAGTCCAAAGCTTTTTTTAAGCTAATAAATGACAAAGAAAAATGGTGTAGTAATTCCCTCTTCGTAAATAACTGGATCAGCTTTTTCTAATCACTTAGTGAAAATGCCTCTTTAAGTGTCATTTAACTATAAAAACAATCACTACAAATGCCTCATGTGAGCTCTTACCTCAAGCATCCAAGCATAAACTCAAAATACATGTTGAGATTAGTGCTGGTCATGACAGGTTGTCATGGAAGTCAGCTTCAATCCCAATCAACCCACCAGCAGACTGTAACAATAGCACTAATCTGGGACTGAACCGAACCACGGATTAAAGACCCCATGTGATGAAGGCTGAGCCCGATAGTGACCTGAACTCTGACCAGATGCTTCTTGAACTAAAACCCAGTGACTACAGCACCTGTTGTTCCCCTGTGTAGACTGTGAGTCTCAGCAGAGCAGGGATGACTTCTGCGGTCTGCTCATTTTACCTCATCCTCAGTCACACAAACAGATCGCCTCTGAAGCGACACATGGGCTGGTTTACGTTGTTATACCACAGAACACGAGGGCTCTCTTAACTTCATAGGCTTTCTTAGACGGATTTATAAAAGAAATGGAAAGGGCAACAGAGATAGTAAACAACAAACAACAAAAGGAACATTGAGGCATTCTCTGGATTTGCTTCAGTCCTCAGAATTTATTAGCCTCCCTCCTTTATAAGCTCACTTTTTCCAGCAGGAAGCAAAACAACAACACAAGAGCAGATTAATTAGAATTTGGAAAATCAGTGGTGGCAGGCTGTCGGGTTCCAGTCGTCAAAGCAATGGGAAAAGACCTAATGATGTACTCTTTGTTTAACACGGTAGAAAAACAAACTTTGCCTGGACCCAGTGTGATCCCATGACTAAGCGTCTCAAATATGTCCCCAATGCTCCTGGCTGGCACATTAACTTGCTAGCAGGCCTCTTCTTGATTTAGTGACTTAGGAGTTCAGCCGGAGCTGAAGACAAACATCACTCGTCGCTGCACGACTCCAGCCGATGTTTCAGGCCGCAGAGAAGAAAAACCTCTCGAGGTCTCTCACTTACTGACGCAGGACAAAGATGCTGTTACACTTCTTGGACACTACAAAGGAAAGATCTTGGGGGAAATGAAAATGCAAACGTTTCTGGGATGCCCTTTTTTACTTGACTGACTCTTCCCTTAGCTTTAATATTTTACACTATAAAAGAGACAAGATTTGCAGTGGGCTTTGTGTTACACAAGTCAAATTTATTAAGCATGTCTTGGCCTTGTCATCACTCCTCCCTGCTTTTAAAGAACAGTGCAACCTTAAAGTTTCCATGTTTCATCGTCTCTCGGCATATTTGATTACCTGATCTATTGCAACCTTCTGACTCCCTTCAAGATGCAATTGACTCTTGTACTTTGACTTAGATTCTTATCTTCTCTGCTGGTCTGCAAGCATAAAATGTTTGTGTACTCCTAAAGTACAGAGCACTAAATTTGATACTGACGGTTAAACCAAGTTTTGTTGAAAGGTTCAGGTTGAGTTCAAAAAATGTTTTGCTTTGGTAAATTCGTGACTTCATGATTTTGCAGACATCAATGAGTGCCTCCTGCAAGGGATATGTAAGAATGCCGACTGCCTCAACACCAGAGGAAGCTACAGGTGCACATGTAAACCAGGCTTCATGTTAGATGCTGCCAGGAGCCACTGTGTCTGTAAGTGTCCTGTCTTTTCTTTGCTTCCTATTATTTATTATTCAAGTGGCGTAATGTGGTGCATTGAAGTATAATGGATGGATGCCCTCTCTTGCAGCGGACAAAGCGGTGTCAGACCAGAAGGCGTCATGCTATCGGTCGGTTTCAGCCGGGACGTGCTCTCTACCGCTCGTTAATCACATCACCAAGCAGATCTGCTGCTGCAGCCGTGTGGGCAAAGCCTGGGGATCTCAGTGTGACCGCTGTCCTTTGCCGGGGTCAGGTACAGTAGCTGAACCTACTTTATTCTGTTGCTACGTAACCGCCGCAATCTTTGTTCTCACTCTGCAAAGTCAAACGGTCATTTCAGGATTTACTTTTCCTACTGAGAAACGCTTTTCCGGGTTAAATGCTTTTGCAGACGTAAAATGTCACATGTAATCTTCTGCAAGGACGAGCACCAGTAGTGAGAGAGCAGGCGAGGGGTATTTACCACGCAGTCACCACTCTGTTCTTTGCCAGGCGTATGAAGCATTTCAAAATAACTAAGTGTGTTTGGAGTGGAAAAGTACCAAAAACATAACAGTTTTCATATTTTGGAGGCTACATAATGGTGGGAGTCAGTCTTGTGTTATCACTCCAACCCTCAGAGAGAAACCCCACTAATATACCGGCAAAGCTTCACAGCAGAAATTCATAGCATTGCCAAGTGAAACATGGGAAGTAGTTGTCATCTTTTTCTCCATCCAGATCTAATCTTCAAAGTCTCAGAGAGAAACAAGCTGGTTTTATGGAGTGTCTGTGCTGGCCAGTGATTCATAGGGATTGTCGTAGATCAGATATCACACACAGACCTCCTTGGTGCTCTTCAACCAGAACAGAAACTGTGCATAGACACAGCCTTTGATTATTTCAGATGCTGGCTTTTGCATTGCCTGGCATGCCCTTACAGCCATATTCTGAGCAAAGCCAGGCTTGTTACTTGTAACCCGGTAACAAATGTCCTTCCAGACACACTCCGGTATTCTGAATGGTTATCATGTATAGCCTCATTTACCCTCCACTTTAAAACCATTTAGCTTTTCATATCCACGTTTCCTGCAGTTACACCTGCATTTACACTGACCACATATCTGTCAGTACTCATATCTCTATTCCAGACTCTTTTGGCATAGAGCATGTGGATTCAGGTCAGGTAAGGGACATGGTGCTTCTCACTTGTAATGGATTCACCATTGCTGAGGTCTGTTGGACTCAGAAACAAAGAGATGAAGTTTCCCTGCTTTTATCTAGTCAGCCAATCCTGTTAAAGCCTCTCATTCAAATGCCTCAACAGCACACGGTTCAAGGGTCAGTCAGTGCTACATGATCCACTTCTTCCCCTACTGGCATCATTCTGCCTGCGTGTTTTTCAGTGTGTGCATATCCTCAGTTGTTCCAAATTCGAGCGGTGACAGCCGTCACTGGTGTGCCGGCTCACTGATTCACCCAGATTCTTGCTCATAAGATCAGTGCTGCAGATGGCTTACAATCTGACCGTGGAAATCAGTCAAAGATAGCCCGATGAGCTGGAGCTCACGCTACAGAGGGGATGTTATCACTTTCTCCTGTGCTCCTTCTCCTACAGACCACTTCAAGGAGATCTGTCCGGCTGGTCACGGATACACTTACTCGCGCTCAGAAGTGCAGATTTCTCTCAGACAGTTGGAATTTGATGAGCTGCAGAGCACAGGAGTGTCACTGGAGGAACAGTATCCATCCTCTCAACCCTCACGATACCCCAACTACCCACAAACACCTCAAGTGCCCCAATATCCTCAGTACCCCGAGACACCACAAGTTCCTCGGCACCCTTTGACTCCACAGCATCCTTCTCATTCAGGAAGAGATACCCCAGGGCAATCAACAGGTAATGTTAATGTACTGATCAGTTAAATCTCTGCCTGACTGGGTTAGACTGGGTTTGGAGATGCCCAAAAGAATGCAGGCCAAGTAGAACGATGATACAAAAGATACATTTTCCCAAAAATGTTAATTAATTTCCTTTATGACAGAGATTAAACATCCTGATGATGTTTGAATTCTCAGAAACAAATTATAATCATTTTAAATATTATTGGTGTCCTCAATTCATCAAGATTAGATATTCAAAGAAACCAACACACCCAGCTGACTTAGCATTTAGCATATTTTCCTGCATGCATCTTCCTATTTTAATTCTGTAAAGGTAATTTCAACACTGTGACATTTTGGTTCGTTGTAGCACGCAGTTCTTTAAATATTTTGGGATTTTCCCATGTCCCGATTTGAACATTTTATTTATTTAATTGGAAATAAAGACCCTTATGGTTGCACTAAAGTTCTTACGGGAGACATGGCTATGAGGTTTGTGTACATTAATGATTAATGTGGGCAGGATGACAGTGTAAGCAACATTTATTTATTGTGTTTTCTTTATCCAGATGTGGAGATTCTCATCCCAGTAAGTATTTCCCCCCCTGTATGTTTTCTTCTTTTCTACAATGTGCTCTGGCCTTGCATGCTTGTGGGCTTTTTAGAATTATCAAGCTTAAACTAACTAGACTAGAATTTAGCAACGAAAGCCAACATGAATATGAACCGTGATGAAAAATGAAACTCGAATCACTTTTGACAGAGAATATTTGCTTGTTTTCCAGCCAGCTGTTGTGACTGACTCACCACTGAAATACCCAGGTATTTTTTTCGTCTTGGCTGTACCCATCTTAATCATATAAAACAACTCTTGAACAAACGTCTCCACACTGTTAGCATTTCATTCATGTACAGACATGTTCTGTGTATTCTGAGAGTTGCCCCCGCACAGCAGTGGCAGTCTCAGTCTTTGTCTGCTTTGTCCCCACACCAGAGAAAAATATTGACACCAAAGTCTGCTGGACGACTACAGCCAATGAGTCAATGAAATATTTTAAGCATTAGAAATAAAGAGTAAATTATTTTTCTAATGTACTTTGAGTGTCAGCTGAAGCAGAAGTGACTGAAAAAACTATCTAGCTTTTTGTTGCATAGACCTCATGCTGTGTGTTGCAGAGTTAATTAGTTTTCTCTTTTCCACTCACCTACTACATTATGACTCACCTAATTTCTCTCTATAGGGAGCTCCCCGGACTTCCCGAGTGTCGACCCTAAGCCAGATTCAAAGGAAACGAGCTCCATAGATTCAACCACAGGTATGTTTAAATCACCTATAAAGGAAATTAACTCTATACAGAAACACTGGATCTTAAAAAAAGATTTGGCCGGTGGCATGCAGCATAGCAGCCCAGGGCTCAACTCCTTATTTTGTATGCTCTGTCAGCTGCTGGCACACAGCAGCGCATCTTTTAAGGAATTTTAGCAAGCTAACCCAAAGTAATGCTTTATTTGACCTTATTTTTCAAAGCCAATTTGGCTTAAAGCCGCTGAGCTCCACAGAAGGTGAGAGGGCGTAAAACATAGAGAGAGCGTGCCTCCTGGAGGGGGTGTTATCCTGAGAGAGAGGTGGCCAGCTTTTTGAAAAATGAAAGTAAAGACAACATGATAAAGGTGCGCCTGGGTGGCAGAAAGGGAACAACGGAGGTTTAAGGAGCAGGAAGAATTTGCATATGTCTTAATGGGACAGTGCTTTTTTCCCTCAGCAAGACATCAGTGTCCTGTTATTTCCCCCCCTCTCTTTTTTCAGATGGAAAAACACAAGAACAAAACTAATGTCAGGCTCTGCGGTGCATGACCTGTTTCTTTACAAAGCCTTTGTAAGAGAGCCATACCACCTGTTAGAACACTACACTGCTGTAAAACCACTCCTCTCGTCCAAGACTCCTCCTATAAAACAGCAAGATGGTTACCCATGAGGACCAACATGTGTTGCCGGAATGCACTTTTTGATTTTTTACAGCCTCTATAATGTTGGGTCAGAAATGTTATTGTCAGTTCTGAGTAGTGACCGCACATCTCTTTGCTTTTTCACAGGGATTAACAAGTGTGCCGCTATTCCCACTATATGTGGCCGTGGGAAATGTATCTCCGTGCAGACTGGCTACACCTGCGACTGTGATCCGGGATTTAAGCTCAGCGCACTGCAGACCAATTGCATTGGTAAGTGACAAAGAGAAGTGGGAGATAATTGGAGCAAGACAGCAAGACGTCTTCCCCGTCTTTAAAGGGAAGCACGGGAAGAAAAACATACTCGAGAGCACAAAGCGGCTTTGTCTATCAGCATCACAGCATCCTCGGCACCGGTCATCACACAGCGCGCAGTCCTTGAGAAATCAAGCAAGCCAAAAATGAAAGAGATCCGCTTGTTTATGGTGACCTGTTCCCTGATGCCTGACAACAGCACACAGGCTCTCCAAAGAGCCGCTGTGATTATGTGATGATTTACCCCACAAAGACCTTGGCCGCAGCCTCTGCTCCACTCAGCCGGGTTCAAGCCCGTCGCTGAGAGAGTCCCATGCTGGAGAGGAACTCCAGGGTCACAATTTGAATGCATTCCGCTATGCCGGTGAAAGGCAATGATAATATACTTTATTTCCTTCTCCTGTAGATGTGAATGAGTGTGATGAAGACCCGTGTGAAGGGAAGGGCCGCTGTATAAACAGCTATGGCTCCTACACCTGTCAGTGCCACAGTGGCTACAGCCAAGTGATCACTCAGAACAGGAAGTTCTGTCAAGGTGAGACGCAGTCCATTTACAGTAGGAGATATAAAGTTTCCAATGGAAACCCCGGGAACTGTTAACGCTGCCCGTTAGAGCTCTGCAAGTTCTTGTCTGTCAACACTGTTAGCGGGGAAAAAATTAAGCATCCTGTCCTAATTAATCCTATGGAACATAACCCTCGCTTTCTTTTCTATTCTCCTTTATTTTTGTTCAACCGGTAGACATCAATGAGTGCAGCATGCCCAACAAGTGCCAAAGTGGCAACTGCGTCAACACAGAAGGATCTTACACCTGTGAATGCAGCAGTGGCTTTGCCAAGTCCTGGAGAGACCTATGCGAAGGTCAGCACAATACTAGCCTGATCTGGTTGTTTGCTGCCATGGATTTTACATGCACCTGAAATACAAAACACATAATCTGTTTTCCCTCCGTCTTGGCCAAGAATAAATCTCTGTTCCCTCCGTGACAGAAGGATCGTGTGCATGTATTTATGCGCATATGTCAGTATTTGTGACCACACACCTTGTTTCTTCCATGCACGCACACATTGTTTTTATGGGATTGTTGTAGTAACAACTAGTGCAAATGATGTTTTGGTGTTCCACCTTCTCCCTGAGCAGATATAGATGAGTGCAGAGATCCCAGCTCCTGTCCCAACGGGGTCTGCATCAACACGGTTGGCTCCTTCCAGTGTCAGGCCTGCAGCCCAGGATTCAGGCCTGTCAATGAGAGATGCGTAGGTAAGGCAACCTCACACTTCACCACTACCACCCCGACTCCCTCCGGGTTCCTGAGGGTGCTCCAACCACCGTATGCAAAGCAGCCGGGCCTCCCTCTTCTTTGTAAAACTCCCCATGTCGGCTAGCGTTCATATGCTGTTGGTCTGTTTTTGCACAAGCACAAAGAAAAATCTGCCTGGCATCAGGGCGTGCAGTTTAAGACCTGTCGACAGCTTCTGATATAGTACAGTGGACCAAGTAGCACGAGCTGAATAGCATCTGCAGCCCTCCAGCTTGCTTGTGCTCACTGAATTTATAAAATAAGTTGTATCATTGCTCCGGAGAAGGTTATATTGGGTATTTTATGTCGAGTGGGCCACATGACAACCCCAAACCACAGTGATGATGGCTATATTGCATAGACTGAGTGCAACCCTCCATCTTATTTGCCCATTCAGTCTTTCCACATCCGAGATATCAGCTCCTCCACCCAGCAGCCACTGCATATCCCCATCATTGTTTAAACATATTCACTCTGTTATTGCTGATCTTTCGATATCGCTGCTTCCATTAAAAGATTGTTTATAATACTTCAATTTGGGAGAGTCCAAATATTTTCTCTCGGCCTCAGCCTTGAACAAACATTGTATTATTGTTGGAGAGCTCGGCCCACTTTCCTGCAGAGCGTGGCCGAGGCAAGCGAGGCTTTGTTTCCACTGTGGAGGTAGGTGTGCGGCGAGCAGTCACAGGAGACGTATGAGAGGGGCAAAGAGTCAGTTCCTCCCCGAATAAAGGACGCTGCATGGAAACAAATTTTGTATTTCACCCAAAACGTTATCTGCTGCCCAGAGTGAGAGTCCTTGTGGGGATCGCTTGATTTTGAATGCACAAATGTCCACCAGACTACACCTGGTGTGTGTTTTATGTGAGCATTCATTGCCAGGAGCTACCAACCCTGAAAGTGGCCCAGTTGCATAACGTTCTGACTTTTACTACTTACCACATCTCCTCCGTAATACCTTGCACCCCTCTAATTTCTTTTGGAAATATTGGCTTCTGGAGTGTGTACTCCAGAAATAGGAAAAGCTAACACATCGGATTAATGATGGAAAATTTAGAGTGAAACCTTAGCAGTGCTATTGACTTCTTCATAAAATATTTTTTGGAGCCCAGTGACTTATGCTCATGTTCAAAATTTGGTAAACACTTTGCCTCCAAAGAAAACAGCACTTTTATCCCGTTTTTCACTTTTCTAAGATTATTATTCATTCTCTTTAAATCTCTAAACTATAAATAGAATCTTAGAGGAACATTGTAAATGAGGGATAACACAGGAGTAGATTTTTTTTCTCATCATTCAAACAGAACTGCACAATCCGTCTGTGCTGTGGGAGTCATATAAAATAGGCCGTGTTCGCACTTGGTTTCCAGCATTTGCTTCAGTCAATTGACGGCAGCGCGCTGCGGTCACTTTGGCTCAACGGGCTGAATCGAGGATAAGCCTAATTGTTGGTGTGATAGAGAAAACAGCTCCATCCCCCAGCCGGGGCCTATCGGAGAGATGCCGGATGATTGCTGAAACAAAGCCCTGGTGCACTCTGACAGATGTCTGGCAGTGCCCACGGCAGGAAAAACAAAACCCGGTCTGTGACTCCTTTGCAGTGTTTTCACTGTGAGGGGATTTGTGCTACAGGATCTATATCACCGCTCAATAACATCCTCTCTTCACCTCATTTGCAGAGAAATACTTTTCCTTTTTCTGCTCCCTTCCCCACATCGTCAAACGCCTCCCTCTCTTTCTCCCTACTCGATGTCAGCTGACTTGTAAAAGGCTACTGTTAACAGTTGATAAAACCAGCTATTAAATGATGTTTCTGCTAAATGCTTTCCACAAATACAATATCTGGGTCAACTGTTTGGACTCATGAAATGGAAAAGACAGCTACTGCAACAAATAGTAAAAGGGCTGTATGAATGAGGTCCGTGTGTTGATGTGATTTCATGACTGCTGTTTGCACTTATTGTGCAGGCTAATTTTCTTTTAATTATTTCCCTTTTACTCCTGAGCTAAGCAGTTCTTATGTAGTAAGTACAGTTTTTCTCAAAGACCGTGCGACCACAGATTAGCTGTTTTTTTCTGCTGTTAAAGGCTTTGTCCGCACTGATGAGAAAAAAATAGAGAAACACAGCAGCAGACTAGAGCTGCAGAGTCTTGAATTTATGTGAGGGCTTGTTTTGTTTTTATTTGTTTTCAGTTAAGAGCTCTCATATTAAATCACGATAGGTAGTTATGATCGAGTGAACCCTAAAATCTCCCTCTCACTCCTACTGTTTCCTGTCCTTTCCCCCCTGTCTGCAGATGTAAATGAGTGTCTGAATCAAACCGTGTGCGGTCGGGGTAGGTGTGTCAACACGGAGGGCTCCTATAGGTGCAACTGTTTCCACGGATACAAACTCTCACCAGACAGTGTTTGTCAAGGTAACTGTCAGTCAACATTACAACCACCCCATATCAAAGTAACAGCTCTGTGAATGGTTCTCCACAGTGCTACTACAGACGCCTTGCGGCACCATTGAAGACTTTTGAAAGAAGCTACAAAGAATTCACGGTTTGTCTTCATTTTCTGAGGCCCTCTGTTTTTTTTTTTTCCTGCTCTATATCTTTCCTCCAGATGTGGACGAATGTGGGCTTCCGGGAGTCTGTCTCAACGGCCGCTGTGTCAATTTGGACGGCACCCACGAATGCACCTGTAACCATGGTTACCAAGTCACCTCAGACAGCAAATCCTGCGAAGGTCTGCAAAGTATTATTTAGAGCTATTGGGTGTAACTCATCATGCATACCTCTCCTTGGATGGAGCTTTCCCAACAGCAGCATAATGTCTGCAAATTATTTCTCTTTGCTAGATGTCAACGAGTGCGCAACTGGTAATGCCTGCCCCGCAGGAATCTGCATCAACACCGTAGGTTCCTACACTTGCCAGAACTGCAGGCCTGGGTTTGGACCATCTGCTGACGGACTGAGATGTGAAGGTGAGAACAAGTCTGTCTAAGGATTGATGCTAATCGGCCTACCCGTGTTTAAAGGAACATGGGGAAATAATGGGCCTGATCCGTCCATTTGTCACCACCTTTTTCTCTGTTTATTTGTGTCCAGACGTTGATGAGTGTGAACAGGATTTGTGTCAGGGAGGTGTGTGTGCTAACACACAGGGATCCTACACTTGCACCAGGTGTAAGGCTGGCTACAGAGTGTCTCTAGACCGGCAGAGATGTGAAGGTAAATTTAATCTCCAGCTGTCCATATAGTCTGACCTGCTCAGCACATCTGAACAGTTTCTCAGCTCACCGCTAAATTACCTTTGCTGTGCTACTGCTTTACCTCCACGTATTATTCAGTCTTTTCTAACCTCCTCGTTTGTGTCTACTCACGGGTGATCCTCAGATGTTGATGAGTGCCAGTCCCTGTCTACATGTGCCAATGGGATCTGTCTAAACTCAGAAGGCTCCTACACCTGTGAGAACTGCCCGAGTGGGTACAGAGTGTCGTATGATGGGGAACTCTGCCAAGGTTGGCCTTCTTTTCTTCAACTCTACCACTGAATTGCAGAGCGCAGCATTAACACTTCATGTTACTTAGATCACAAAACTAACATTGGTGGTCTGAACACTTGTTTTTGTTCATCTGGATTTCATATGAATGCTCCTTGCATCTTGTATTGAAAGTCTAAATGTTCTTATTGTTTCACAACAGATATTGATGAGTGTGAGCTTTCCAGCACTTGCCCCCAGGGAACATGTACAAACACTGAGGGTTCGTTCACATGTGTCCTCTGCCAGTCCGGTTTCAGGATCTCTGAGGATGGACAGCAGTGTGATGGTGAGTGTTTGCATAGAGAAAAGTTTATTTTGTATTTGTATGTTCGAGCTCAGGTGTTTGTTTGTTCTCTCTTCATTCAAACGGGTCATACCTAAATTCTGCTCCCTCTTGAGTTTCAGCTAGGGTTAAAAATACAAGCTTTACTGAGCTGTTCACTCAGGTTATATCTATCAGCATCAGACTTTAACTGCTTTCATCTAATCTGAAACTCCTAGACATCACATCATAGCTGGATTCTGGGCCTCTTTGTCTCTGGCACCACTCATCTTATCTGTGCTCCACACAATGAGACACCAACCCTTGAATAGAACTAGATGATGTCAGGCTAATAGCTCAAGTGAAAAGTCAGAGGTGTCGACGTTTCTAGTGTCTACCCATCATGTCATTGATTACAACTCGTGGGGTCAATTCCATTCGAAGCCAGAGATGGTAATCTGGACTGTGTTCTGTCCACATATTTGTGTCCAGATGTGGATGAGTGCTTGATGGCCAACTTGTGCCCAGGCCAGCTCTGCTTGAACACCCCAGGATCTTTCACCTGCAGGAGCTGTGAAACCGGGTTTCAGCTGTCTGAGGACACTCACACCTGTGACGGTAATCCTATATCTTCATCTTGTTATCTGTTAGAACAATCAAACACCTAACTGTAGTCAACTTTGGACCAAACTTATCATGGACGAAGGCAAGAGGAATGTATTAGTCCCAGAACCTGATTAGAGGAGATCTGTACAGTGCACTGTAATTTTTCGTGACATGATTTGTGAGATCAATGCAGTAAAATGGTTGCTTGGACAAACCCCGGTGAGGTTACATCTGTCATGACTTCATGGGAAGCGAGAAAGGAATGACTTTTTAAAGGGGCTTAAACACAGACTCAGTTAGTCATACTGTATATATGTGGTGTGTTTTTGAATGGGAGCATGGATGTAGCCTGAGATGAAGATCCCCCACTGATATGTGTCTTTGGGCTGGAACATAATTTCAAGAAACTACGTCCAAGTCAACCTCTGATAGGATTTTAATGGATCATCTGATGCCATGGAAAATATTAAGGATTCAATTTAGAATGAAGCCAACCACTCCCTTGCCTGCCACGTACTGCAGAATGCTCTCCCCGTTGAACCTGCTCTGTTCACACAAGGGCAAAATGAAGCAGTCTCAATCATTTAGCAAAAGTCCACACTATTCTCTCCCTAAGAAATACAATCCGTACCGGCTCGAGGAATTTCCGATGATCACGTCAGTGAACTGGTGACTATTTGTGGATCCAGTAATTATATGCCACCTGTAATATCTTGCTATTTGTAGATTTGATGACCATGCTGCATACTTTTCTTTCCCCCCATTTTAATTAAATACTGTCATTGCGATCTGATAAAAAAGAGCTTCCCTTACTGTAAGTTGGCAGCATGTTGAGAGGAGTTACGCTTATGCACTGACCATTTTTAACAGATAAGGAACTAGCAGCTTAAATATGGGTTGTGTGTATGCTCCTTTGCCTCAGATCCTGACAGATTACAGTACCTTTTCTTCGCCTTCTGTGTCTTAGATATTGATGAGTGCCGAGTTCCTGGTGTTTGTCCCACGGGAGTTTGCACCAACACAGTGGGCTCCTTCTCCTGCATGGCCTGTGACCCAGGCTTCACGGTAGCATTTGACGGGCTCTCATGTGAAGGTGCAGTACAGCGGGTGACTCCCTGTGGTCGCAAAAGTTTACGATCTCTATGCAATCATTTTTAGTCATCTGTTCCAACGCCAGATGACCCAGTACAATACGTCATTACTGGCTGCTGTCGGCAGCTTTCTGACATGCTCTTTGTGGTCTGGAAGCTTTAATGTTACTTGGAAATAAAAGACTAATTTGGAGTGAGACCAAACAATTTACAGCTGGTTTGGAATCTGCCCTCGTGATGATGTCTGTGTTGTGTGTCATTTCAGATGTGAATGAATGTGAAGACACCCACCTGTGCCTGGGAGGCCAGTGTGCCAACAACATCGGCTCCTTTAGCTGCTCTTGCCCATCTGGCTTTGAGTTGGTTGATGGGACCTCTTGCAGAGGTATATATATATACATATATATGTATATATACATATACATGTAGGCTTGAATAGAAAACATACCATTGGTGGTTAGCAATTTGTCTAAGCTTACATCATGTTGGCATATTGACACAGATGTTTGAGTATATTTGTACTTATTTGCGATAGATATGGATGAATGTTTAACCACTGTGGGGATCTGTGGAGAAGGAGACTGTCTGAACACAGAGGGCTCCTACTCATGCATCTGTCCTGATGGATATACCGCCAGCGATGGAAGGTCTGGCTGCCAAGGTACGGTAACGTATTGCCGCCAGAGCAATAACAGTAACAGGAAATCATTATTCAGATTATTTTATGAGCTTTATGTAATTGGGAGAGGCTGATACACAATTGGGGCTAGATGATTATAATTCAATAATGGTTTTTAGCACATGCAGCTCAAGTCATTTTTACAGTAACCTCGCTGGCACGCGCGCTTCACATTTATTGCAGACAGGCTGTTCTCACCATACTGTTGGGGTTGCTGGGGCCTGTCTTTCTGTGTAATGGGCCGTGGCCTCATCACCCGTCTCAGCTCACTCTCCCTGGATATCGGTTTGATGTCATTCCAGTCGCACCCAGTGACCCACTGTTCAGTGGTTGGAAAAAATTTGTTGCCTGATTGTCAACAAAGGAAGACTTTTCAAGAATCCCTTTGTCATCAGAATATGTTAAGTCATTTTTGGAAGGATGTCAGAATTGCACCGTTGTTATTTCTGGTCGGGCTTTAAAGTAGCAGGTGAGGTTAAATAATGGTAGGTTGTCTAGCCATAAAAATCAGTCAAGACATAAAGCAGGTAGGTTTGTCTTCCAGTCTCTGAGAAACTATACTTAGTCCCCAAACTTGGACTTTCTTTTATTGAAATACTGTCCACACTCTCAAAGCACATTGCCCTGGCCACATCAGGTACTTTGGCTGCCCGCCATAACAAATACTTGACTCTAATTATCCTATAAATCAGTAGTTGTCATGAATTTTCCTCCAGTCCACAATGATGTGTACAGTGCTGACACAATGAAAGCCAGACCCCTCAAACATGAGTTTACACAGGAAAAATAAGTAAGGATGAGGGTTTGTAAGGTTATGAGACAACAAACTGAAACCCATCCAAACGTGATCCAAATGAACAGGTCGTGCCAGAGTCCTGCTGTACCTTTCAAAGAGTTTGGAAAAAAACGTATGCACTCACAGCTCATTGGGGTTGTTTGCAAGCAGTCTGGGATATTGCTTTTCATTCCTATATTTGCTTAGGATGTTTATCCTATTGTTTCTGTAACATTTAACTGATTATCAAAGGTTGGGAAAGTCCTGCCAGTATCCCACCTTTTGCCAGGTCCAACTACCTTACAAGCAATGTTGTAATGCTGCAATTATCCACCCATCAAAGGCTAATCAAGCATATTGCGTTCATTATTAATTTTTTTAGCCTGCAAGAAACATTCTCAGCATGAGAAGTTAAGGTCTATGTTCTCCATTGTTTCCTGTTTGCCAGTATACCATTACATGATCCAAATGGCTAATATGTCTTTTATTCTGACAAGCACTTGATTACACATCTATTTTTTTAATACTTAAAGTACAAGGAAGAGTGCTGTTCCCTGTGGTACTGATGAGAACATACGATATTTGTGGATATTTAGTGATGGTCAATGCACACCACGACCCAGTCTTTTTTTTCTTATTGTCTGTCTTAATGTCTTGCTTTTCTTTCCCCTATTTCCTCAAACTCAGATGCTGATGAATGCAGTAAAGAAGATGTGTGTGTCCAAGGACAGTGTCTCAACACTGATGGCTCTTTCTTATGCTTATGTAAAGCTGGATTTAAGTTCAACACCGACACAGCTGACTGTGAAGGTAAGATTAATTAAAACCCCCCTGTGGTGTCCAGTTTTGGTGTCATGTCATGGTGGTTACTTGACCCTCATCTCTGCCCTGAGGTTTCCTCTCTCTGTGTAACCCAGCATGTCAGCATAAGCTGTTTGATCGTCATGCTACATTAAGACTTAAGCATACCCGGTATAACACAGTTGGCCATGATTAATTATCTATAGCACATGAGGACTAGGTTCCAGAGAAAGTGTCCAAGCCTGGCTTAGAGGCTTTCCTCCATGGTCCCCAGACTGAGAGGTTCCTGGATTACATGGCTGGAGCCCTGAACTCCCACTCCCGTGAGGGAAGTATGAATGACCACATTGTGAGCAGGAGGTGTTTCTCCCTCTGGAACGTCTCCCTTTAGCTCCTTCACAAGTTCTATGGTTGCTGTAATAATATTGTTCTTGGCGATTCTCAATGCGTGCTTCGTTTACTGAGGACAGCTACGCCACAGACCTTCTGGCCGACTCCTGCTACACAGCCATTACACAGCACAACAGGGGACGGAATGCTAGTTTGTGTGCAAGGATGCATGAGTCTGTGCTTGATTACATGTGCAGTCGTATTTGCAACTCTGCTTGTCAGTTAATAACCCACATCTGTGTCACAATGTGAAGTTCGGGAAGAACGGGCCTACATTCACCTCCCAAAGTTAGCTGCCACATTGTAACGTATTTGATTCCCTACAAAAAGCTAGAAGATCAGGATAACCAACAACATCTGTGAACAAATTATCAGAACTCCAAAGACTAAGAGTCTAGTCAAATGATTTGTTTTGGAATGAGGTATTAGAGCCGTAGTTATACATATTTATATATTTAATGATTTTAAAATACCATAAATTACCATTGCCAACGTTTTTATGAAATATTCTTAAACATTGATCGTTATGGTTTAATTGTCTTTGCCGCTGGGTTTCAGTTATATTAACTCCTTACAAATATCTTTTTTTAACCTGATTACATTTTCCAGTGAGGTCAGGAAAAGAACAGCAGAGTCAATTCTTTTTTTCTTTCTTTTTTTGACATTTCGATGGGCTGCGTGGCTGATAAAGAGAGTGAACCGGATGATCTGGCCACTGCAACGATCTGGCAGTGAACAAAGGAAGCAGAGCAGATTATAAACTGAAGGACTGTTGACAAATGAATGACACAGGAGAGGTTATGAGCAAAAGAGACCAGGTGGAATGAGGACAGGGGTGCAGCTAACAGAAGTTAACAAAGGAACAGACTGCAAAATAGACCAAGAAAATGACATAATCAGACGCCAAACAAGTAACAATGGGCATAACGTTGAAGTAATCCTAATAGAGGGTCTAAACAGAATATTAGAAGATATGAAAAAAAACATCGGAATCCTAATGCACGTAACATGCCTTTGTTTTCAGACCAGGATGAGTGTAAGGAGTTTGGAGGCTCGGTGTGTGGCACATGGCGCTGTGAGAACACCATCGGCTCCTACCGGTGCTTCATGCAGTGTGAGCCCGGCAGTATCCAGGGAGACTGCGGTGAGTGTTCTAACTGTGCTCTCAATAGGTAAAAAGACCAACATCAATTTTTAGCCTGACTTTGTATTAAAGAAAATTTGCATGGATTGCAAATATGTCTATTTTTTACTGTCATACTTATCTCTACTACAGGTCAAGTAGTAATAATGCTGCATTCTCAAATGCAACAGAGTTACAGTGAATCAAAAGCAGTGTCTCCCACACAAACAGCCAAGAAGGAGATTGTATTCAGTACTGAAATAGATGTACTTTAAATACAGATGTGTTAATTGGAAACATGGTGTGAGATCAGAACCAAAACTAGTCTCAACCTCTCGGTTGAGGAGTTGATAGAGTGCATGTGGCAAGCAGAGACACAAGGTAGCCCTGAGCATCACTGTCTATCTTTAAGGAAGAGATAGGACATTGAGAGCAGCCATCTATAAACAGGCTTTTTTATTTTCAAGTTTTCTATTCCGTGGAGGGAATAAACCACATGGCATGGTTGGCAGTTAGTACTTGTGTTAAGTTTGTGTTAGGCCAAAATACAGTCATCGGAGCATGAGAAGTTCTGTTTGGTTGCAGACGTAGACTCTGTGGTCTTTAGAAAGAGGGGGTTTATCTGTATTGCTTGTCTTTTTTGTTTTCATATCAGCATGAAACAGCGAGTGGGATTTGAAACAATAAAATCTTTTTCCTCATATTACATTAAGACAGATTCCAGACAGTCACCAGTGTGACAAGAGGGGGAAAGCAGTCTGAGAGCAGAATGGAATGATGTGCTGGACGGCAGATGCAAGCTGTGGGTGATTTTGAAGGGGCTGTGTGTGTGTTTGTGTGTGACAGTGTGCGTGTGTACATGTGGTTAACAGTGACTTTTTGCACCCTTTTTGCATGTTTTTTGCGCTGGACGGAAAGACCCAGAGAATGTAACAGTTGTAGAGATGGACTTGGAGTGTGTTGTGGCTTCACATATTCTCATGACCCCGAGTTTTTATTGGACGAGCAACTGATGGAAATCGGGGGGGGAGAATATGCTGCTCCAGTGCTGAGCGGTGACAGATTGTGCCTACATCACCCTGATTCTGACCACGTGTGACTGCCTCCCGACTGCACTTTATGATGTTGTCTGTCTGGCACCGGCTGAAGAGTGGAGAGGCCTGTAGGGTGATAAGGGCTGATTGAAACCAGCTGCTTACCCATGCGTCTTTTAAAACACAGTCAAAACAAAGCTCAGCCGCCCACGTACTGTACATTCAAATTAGTTTAGATATACTTTGTTGCGACTGCCTTAAAAGGCTCAGGTCTGCGTTCTCTTTAGCATCGCTTTTATGACCGTGTTTGTGTTGTCACCATATCCCACGACAAATACTCACTCACAGCTCGGCATTGACTCACAGCTCAGTTCGTGAGCCAAGCTCCCTTACCCTCTAAACCCAACACTACACACAATAGTGGCTTGTTTCACCTCACGATGGGAAATTGCGGGAGATGCTGCCGTCACCTCAATAAAAGTCCAAGGAGGGAGAGCTCAATTACTCCCGAGAAATTTTTCTCCGCTTGTAAAAATCATCAGATATTTAAGAAGAGACCAGACGCTGTAATTTGCCGTTTCTGTGAGGGGCGTTGTTTTATTTTTACTCTGCTGCTTTCGAAAGGGGCAGTGGTTGTCGTTGGCTCCGCTCACCGCTCTCATTTAGATTTAGAGGCCATGACACAAACGGGAAAAACAAAGTTATTTCTACAGCAAACGTCACTCGCAAATGTGCAACAAGGGTAGCACTTAAAACAGAGGACGATGGCGTGTACAGGGCAGTATACTTCTATGTGATGCTGGTTCCCCTCTGAGCTTTAACAAGCCCTGCCAGAGTACAAAACTGTCTGCGGTCACACTCTTCTCCCACTCTGTGGATGTATAGAAAAAGGGATCGCTTTAACATGTGTGGTACCCCACACTGCTGCACACATGAAAGTGCTTTTCCTATAAACGTAGACGTGAAATGACAGGTAAGCCCCATTGTTGTAACCCACAAGAGGTTGTGGATGCCATGTCCAAAAATATGCTTCCCAGAAAGCAAACACCTCATCTCATCTCATTGCCTTGTCTCATGTGAAACCTTTGCACATGGGCCCAATTAAACCAGGGGATGCCCAGAGAAAAGTCAGAAAGTGAGGGGCTGAACTGTGTGAGCCTGTAGTCAGTGACTCATTTATTCTCACCTCCATCTGCTGTGGATTAACACACGGCGTAGACACTCACTATGCCCAATCCTGCCCATATAACAGTGTCACCACACACAGGAAGCAGGTACTCCTGGGTCAGACCGTTAGAGTTTGAAGGTTTTTGAGCCCGGCTGCCCCCTTAACCTCAGCTCCTCCTTCAGAGCTGAACTTCTCACCCTCTTCGCTGCCTCAGTTGTTCCTTCTGGCAATTTACAGCGCCGCATGTGTTCTGACGTAACTCATGATTACATGGAAAGACTAACAAAATAAGCCTGTGTTCTGCTGGTGTGAGACAAGCTCTTGATGGAGTCATCTAATTTTCTCAACATTTTGTGTTTGTTATTATTTTTTTTCTCTTCAAATCATTAACTTCTTGATTAGCACGACGCTCTGCTTGGATGGCAAATCTAAATGCTGTCTATTGAACAATGCCACACTCAGGTAAATGAAAGAACAAAAGCCATTGAAAAAGTTTTGCTCTTGATGCTCTCATTCCTCCTCGGGATGATTATTTGATTGCATCTCATCTCATCATGTGTTTCACAGCAGACTTTGTTCTGTGTTACGCATGAATTAAAAGCAGCCTACAGACTCAAGATTATTTCATTCATTAGCGGAGAGCCTTCCTCACAGACCTCCCTGCTGTCACTCCAACATTCCTAACCCACCTAAGCTCTTCACTTTAGAGAAAGTCTTCTATCAACTCTTTACTATTAATACTTTATATCAACATTTCTTACTTGACTCAAAACATGTTTTCAGTTATAAGCAGCTTCTTACCAAGTAACCTAAAAGTTCTTCCCCTCTTCTACATCAGCTCTCAAACATCCAAATCCAGTGGGTTGGCAGTTTTCAGTACAGTATGTCTCCATCTCCTCTGGCCCTTCTCATTCTGCCAATTAAACCCACAAGTCTATTCTAGCAATTTTTATGTTTTTCAGCATTTCCTGTTACAGATTTTACCAACAACAAAGACGATTTTTGTCTCTGTGGTTTTATTAGCTTGTGGGAGCCCCTGCCTCTGACCCCTGAGGCATGTTAGATAAATGGCCGAGTCAGTAAAGGAACACTGACTGAGGACTTGCCCCCAAGAAAGCCTGAGAAAACAGTTGTCTGTGTTGGAGCAGAAGACGGCTCTCTGGCTGAGTTCACTGTTTAAATCAATTGGGTTGCGGTTTCTCTAGAGAGATAGACTGCCTGTCTTTATTGAGGTTAGCAGCAGATGTATAAGGATCCGGTCAACACGTAGCATCACCCCCCCTCCACAATTGAATAAGTTGTGTTCTTAAAAAAAAATTCTCTTCAGAGAAATAATAATTGGTCATGGAAACTTTGAACTCAATGCTAATGGAAGGTTGTTATGGAACTCAAACGTCAACAAGAAATGATTATTCTTTTGATAAAAACAGACATATTGGAGTGTTCTCTAATTTAGAGGCCTGTCTGACATAATGTTCCCAATTTAATAGGAAAAAGCTGTCACTGGATGTTTTTCCAGTATACGGTATTGGACCAGTTATTCCCGAATTTACAGTCCATTGCAGTGTTAATAGAACATATCTGCACATGGCAGTTATGTATAAAGGTTAATGCTCTATGCATTAGACCTGTTTAATGAAATAAAAGTGGAATAGCAACTTTATGAGAACTGAAAATTGGTTAATAGAGGTTGTGTCACTGAACTTGGCAAGTGATGACGAAACTGACATAAACCAGTGGCAAGTCAGCCTAATCAGAGGAGATATTCAAATGACAAAAGTGAGAACATTAAACACTGATTGTTTTTTAAACAATTATAATCAGCCCCACACTCCTGCAGCGTTGCTCTGTGGCCTTTCTGTTTTGTGGGAGATGCCAAGAAATACTAAATTCTGTATGTAAGAAATTACTAACAAATGTTACCTTCAAACAGCGTTCGGTGGGGAATCAGCAGAGCTGTCACAGGGTCCAGCGTTAATAGCCTCTTTCACGCTGATGTTTAGCATGTAAGCCTTCTCATTTATCGAACCCGATTAATGATTTACTGCCAGTGCCGCCGCTGCACTCTCGCCAGATTTTCCCCCTAACTTGTATTTAATGCCTAAAAATGCTCCCAATCCTTTCAAAGTGCCATTTTGGTTTCTGAAGGATTGGTTTGAGCATTTTTATAGATCGGGATGGAAACAGTACCTGGCAGAAAGCAGTCTTTTTAAGCCTGACCTGAAATCTGTCTTCCCCCAGCTGCTTGTAAATTGTCAGGGAGTGCACAGCAGGCTGGCGGTGGACTGTAAAGTTTTGCTTCTCTGTATTTTTGACAAAAGCAAAGAGCACGTGCAGCTTTCCGGGTTCGCATTACACTCTGATAAAAATGATCTTGACTCAAAGACAAAAGTCTCCTTGGATTAGCTGACAAACAGCGAAGTTTGAAAGCTCTCATAATGAATTGTCTCGTCTGTACACTGTTTGGGACATGTTATGATGGCAGCGATATCTGGTGTTATTGCACAGTCCAAGTGGTAGTGATGTTTATTTTGGAAAAGACGAGCGGTGTTTACGGAGGCAGTTTGAAAATCTGTTGTGCAGATTGGGACTGTAAATATTAATGCTACGCTCACCTCTGTGCATGCTCTCGGCCTGCAGATATTGATGAGTGCGACAATGAGACCATCTGTGGGAACAATGGATTCTGCGAGAACACAGACGGGTCCTTCCGCTGCCAGTGCGACCAAGGCTATACCAACCCACCAGGAGATATGAGCAGCTGCGTCGGTGTGTAACCTCTGTCTGTTCAATATGTGTGTGTGGTGATCGTCAGTGTGTTATTTAGTCTTCTAAGACCAAAACCAAAAGATGGTGATTGTGTTAACAATGGAAGCCACAACCTGATTTAATGTGGGGTCACTACAACAAACATTGGCCCTGAAATTATTTAGGGTTAGTGCCGCTTCTCTAAATACTCATGAGGAGACTACTTGTTTATTCATTTTCAGCTAGAAAAAGTCCATGACAAATGCACATTTACTCTATTGTATTGATATTTGGCGATCGATATTTATCACTGAGAATTTGGCTTTGATTTTGGACTTAAAGCCACAAAAAATATTTTTAAAAAAATGTGAGAATAATACAAGACGCAATAATACATTGTTGGTTTTGGACTAAGTGTTTTCAATTCCAAATTAGGCTTACTCAAAGGGTAGTGTTATTCAGCAACTAGTACTTATAACTAATCTACAGCTATTTAATGTCTTACATAATACAATTTGGACTTAGTGACACAACATTGGAATAATTTTGATTGTACGTTTTTTTGTTATTGACTGCTTGTTTTTCTTCAGTCGTTCTCATTTTTTTGTTTGGTTGTCAGAGAGAACGCCTTTTTGTTGGGCAGCCGGCTCAACAATAACATATTAATCACCCGAGCATAAAAAACAGTCTCCACACAACAGACAACATGAGATATGAGCATGTTTTCCTGGCACTATATGAAGAAATTAGGGGATGATTCAAGACCTGCACACAATTTATGGAGAAAGACGAAAATTCTGAAAATCTCGACAAACACACTGAATCAGGCTAAAACACAACGAGGAGTGTAAAGAAACCATCTCTCGGGGCTGGATGTGAAGCAGTGATTCAGTAATTACGCAGTCACCACCGCTGTTTTGTGTGACCGCGCCGCGACCCCGCTCGGTGCATGCCTGCGTGGAAGGGCCTGATCCTTCTCTGACCTCTCCTGCCTTTTTTCAGACGTGAACGAGTGCGAGATGAGCCTGGCGCTGTGCGGGGGGGCCCTGTGTGAGAACGTCGACGGCAGCTTCCTGTGCATCTGCCCCAACGACAATGAGGAATTTGATCCCATCACCAGCCGGTGCCGCGCCATGGGTACGAGAGCAGCACTTGCACTCACAGAGGCTCCATCCCATCATCGGGAGACGGAGTTGTCCCCGATTTAATGAGCCGTCTCTCATTATCTAAACAAGGGGTGACGAGGAGGGCATGGCTTACTTCACAAGTGTCTTTTGACCTGTCTGTTTCCATTTGTTTTCTAGGCTCGAGTTGTGGTTGGGTGGGTTACCTACTAAAATTTGTATTAGCTTAATCCTTCTGACAAATGATGAAGTAACTCCTTCAAGAGCCAAGCAAAAGCCCCGTGGACCCAATTACTGTAAACCCATTTCCCCACCAAGACAAACACGGACAAGGTGTAGTTATGGCAATTACATCTTAAGACACGTTGTGTCTGTGTAGAATTGCTTAAAGTAAAGGGATTACAGATATGCAATGTATTGGAGTTTCAGCAGGGTGAGTTTTTGACTCGTGGAAGCACCATTGCATCCCAGCTTGATAGGCTGTAAGTGTACCCAAAAAAAATGGGTGTATTTACATTATTGAGCGGCGCGCCCTCAGCCGGGATGTTTTTTCTTCTGCCTGGTCACTAAACCCCAGTTATGCCTCTGTGTACCTTTTTGCCACATTCCTCTGTTTGCTTTTGACGTGTGTGAATCAATCATGTGAGACTGAATGGTGTGTTGACTCACATGCCAGTGTTTCCATTGGGCTAAGCCGGCAGCTTACTGGTGAAATGCCTGAGCCCATGTCTTTGGACAAATGAGCAGGCTCAGCAGTGGCCGGCGAGGGTAACACTCTACCTGTTGGACGCATACAGGATGCAAAGCTGACCTGTTTGATGCTCTGGTTGTATAATGATGGGCCACTGAAATGAGGGATCGGTAATTTCATGAGCCGATCCTACCTTGGCAGCAAGATTTGTTTTCAAATTGTCCCCCTGAACCGTAAAATCCCTTCCAAATAAATAGTGGCTTTGCTGAGCATGACCTTTGACATGTACTCTGTGACCTAAAGAGCCGGTGTCTTTATTCTCCTACAGCTGGGCTTGACCCCAAACCCCTCATTTTGTCTCCTTCGTCCGCTGGGGAGAAGAAGGCTTGTTATTACAACCTGAACGATGCAAACTTCTGTGACAACGTTTTGTCTCACAACACCACCAAACAAGAATGCTGCTGCACAATTGGGGCCGGCTGGGGGGACAACTGCGAGATCCACGCTTGTCCCCTCCCAGGAAGAGGTACAAGTCGAATTAATGTACGAGAGCAAGGGCAGCACTTGGGCCCTCACTTTCACTAAATCATCAACTTTTATTTGTCTTACAGACGATTTCAACCAGTTGTGCCCTCACGGCAGTGGCCTTTTATCTTTGCCTGCTTCCTCTACACAGAGTCATGGAGATCAGCCGCCTTACAAAGGTAATCTCCCACTTAAAAGCTCACTTACTTTAATGATGTACCTGAGTTTTCATAAGTACTCTCAACTCTAAACTTTGCATTGGCTTTGGATGTTGGAATGTCAAGCCCTGTTTTATTTCTACCTGTAGCAACTTCTAAAGCCAGCCAGACAGATGTAATCCCTCACCATATTAATGAGGCTGACTCTAAAGCCTGCCATGGCTTAATAGGATACCTCTCTGCATATCTAATTTCTCCAGCTACAGTCTGTCCTGACAGTTGACGGTTTTGAATACTGCTTTTAGAGACGGTGTTTTTACAGTTGCTGCTTTTTGGCTCGCCTCTGTTGTATTAAGGTGTGAATCTCTCTGTCCCCTCAGATGCAAACGAGTGTGAGATGTTTGGAGCGGAGATTTGTAAAAATGGACAGTGTTCAAATCTCTTTTCTATGTACACGTGCTTGTGTCGCTCCGGCTTCTTCTACGACAACATACGGCTCGAGTGTGTGGGTAAGAAGCGACATGTTACTTTTGCTTATCAGTGAACTTTTATCATCGCCATTTTCATAACAAAGGTGACTGGTCGACTGGTGTGTTGGTTTACGGCCTCTTACGCAGACCTCATCCTCATTTTCGTACAGCCTCGTTGTTTTGCAATCGGTCCGGCCAGAATCCAGCCTTGATGCATCTCCAGAATTCCTCCGTTTCATAGAGAAAATTAAAACCAGTGGCTTACAATCAGTCTTTTCATTTCAGCCATGTTCTGAGTAATTACACCAATGTGTTCAAGTGCAATGATGATTTATGTCTGTGGGCTTCTCTTTGTTCGTGCGTGTTTAGATTACGATGAGTGTGAATCTGGAATTGCCTGCGAGAATGGAGCGTGTGTGAACACAGCAGGCTCTTTCAACTGTTTCTGCAGTCCTCCGTTAGTCCTGGACAGCTCAAGGCGGCGCTGTATTCATTTGAATACCACAGAAGGTATAACACCCACAGTGAGGACATACAGTATCTTCTGCTGAATATATAGAAAACCTGTTTTCACTGAGATCAATCTATTCCTTCTTGTTTTTGTTTGTTGACATCTTGTTTTGATTCCCTTCTTCAGAGCTAATAACTGGACAGGTTTAGTCAAAAACCATGCATCACAATATGTTTTCAATATCATTTTGTAAATATTCTTTTATGTTTTTTGAAGGTTTTTCCTCAGTTTCTGTTGCTAAAACTCTTCCTTTCTTTGTTGTAGAATCTGCTGAGTTTGATCAGGGTGTGCACTTGGATATTTGCTGGCAGCGGCTTGAGGGGGACAACATGTGCGCGGATCCCCTTCCAGTTAAAAGAACAACCTACACTGAGTGTTGCTGCCTGTTTGGCATTGCCTGGAGTGGGCAGTGTGCCTTCTGTCCCAGGAAAGACTCTGGTGAGCAGCAGGGATGCACATCAAAGAGAGATGATCTTGAAAAATCTAATCTCTGTGAAGGAATAAATGAATCTACTGACATCCTGACGTGGTAACAACGGTGACTTTGCTCCATGTGCAGCTGACTACGCGACAATGTGCAACCTGCGAGGAAGCTCAGATAGTCTCCGAGAGAGGATAGGATACGAGTACGGTGTGGAGGGGCCAGAGGATCCAGCGGAGCAGTTCCCCCCGCCATACTGGGATAACTACGGTGGCCCTGCGGGAACATATGACATCCCAGAGAGTGTTCCGCTCTTTAACGACAACGACTACAGTGTCCAGCAGCCACCAGCTCGTGTGCCCATCATACGATCAGGAGGAAACCAGCCTCAACCGGTGAATCCTTATTCCGGTGAGCACATCAATTCCAGTCTGTGCGGTTGAGTTATTTAGTCTCATTACGTTACACATGTTACATGTTAAAACCATTTTTGTGGAGGAAAAAAACGTCAATGAAACATTACAAAAATGTCAAACTCAGTTTGCTTTTCAAAACAATTCTAAAGCTACCATCCACTCATTTGAAGTGCATCCTATCAGTCTCAAAACAAAGCTAAATGGTTTATGAATGCAAAGTATGTGAAGCCATATCTTGTGGATGACAAAATATTGATAATAGTAATAACGTTGAGGATTATTGTAATAACAATATGTTAATGATAATTATGAGTGTTATCTTTTCTACTCAATCTTGTTGTTTTACTTTTATCAGAGCGCTATGACAGCTTTGAGGGTCTCCAAGCAGAGGAATGTGGGATCCTGAACGGATGTGAAAATGGCCGCTGCGTTCGTGTGCGTGAGGGCTACACCTGCGACTGTTTTGATGGCTACGAACTTAACATGGACAAGATGGCCTGCATAGGTATGTTCTTTCCTGAAGCATCCTGGATATGTTCCTCAATGAACCACCCACATTTAGACCAAGTGGAAAGAAATGGGTCAGGATTAACCCATTCCAATCAATAGGATGATCAATCATTCCATTTAATCCTTTCGAAAATGTGGTGTTGAATCTCTAAACTAAATTCATGTGAACTCGCCCTTCAAGTCTAAGTCCTCTGGAACCGTGTCTTGGATTAGATTCACGCTGTATATAATCAAGCTCAAGGAGAAGCTTTGAATTTAACAACCTTGCATTAGGTTAGGGTTTATGGGAAGCTAATGAAAGCAATGCACTTCTTAAAAACCACTGTGCGTTACCCTTTGGTCTGAAATTCCCTCGTCGCTCTCTGCCAAGAGTGAGGAGACCTTGAATCGCGGCCACACATAAGTTACATGAGATTTAATATCTCTTAAATGTACTCTGTTTGTTTTGTGAGAAAGTGAGACTGTCTTCCTGTAATGAAATGCTATGATTGCGATGTTCTGTCTGCATATGGGCTTATCGGGTTCAAGGCCAGTGGTTCTTTTCCAATTAAAGTGAGCATTGAATCAGTGGAAACACGTGGAAGCAGTGCAACTCGTGCCCTACTTCCTATAATAAATATCACCTCTCACATTTCCCAAGAAGAACATGACAAAAACAGAAAAAAGGTCAATTGAAAGTGAGCACACTGAAATGACAATCAAACCTCCTGGGCTGAAAAAGGAAAAAGACGGGAAACTGAAGGCCAAAAGGGAATATAATCTAACTCATTGTTGATGTTACCAGCGTTTTAGCAGTAAAGTGCTCAAAGTGGCTTGGAATTCAATTTCAGTTTGGAGCTAGCTGACATGCAACATGACGAAATGTTTGATTAAAGCTAAATCTTTGTTTATTCTCATTTTGAACAATGACAAGAGATGAGTCTTCACATTTGATGAGTAACAGGGTTTGGGATTTCAGAAGGTCCGGTTTAGGAAGCTGCAAGAAGCCTTTAACCTTTATTCTGACTGTTCTATTTATCTTATAAAAACCCCTCGTCAGTCTAAAAGGTTTTTTTTTTTTACTACCACAGTCATCCCATGAGCCCCAGAGATGATGTGTGTCTTGCTTTCAAACGACTTTTTAACTGTAGGACGACGGCACAAATGCAAAAAGTTGAAATGTTACTATACTTAGCTGCATGCACTGGAAATAAATTCAGATTAATGTTACTCCAGAGTCAGTTCATGGAATAGTGTAATGATTTCCTTCAAATTTTCTTGGCTCGTTACATCACAATCAAACATCTGGATATTTGACCTTGTAAACCTAATAATAATTATCTGTATGTCCTTGATATTTTTAATGTTTTCTGCACACCCTTGGGGGCAGTTGCGTGTTTCTTTTTCAGTTCAGAAATCCAGGACTACTGTATATATTTTTGATATGATAAATGAATCCCTCCACAAATCTTAGTTCAAGTGGCCCTAAAATGTCTCAGACATACATTATATTAGATACTATATCATGGGTTTTAAGGCCTGTTCAGATATATCAAATAATGTATTCACACTTAACATTTATTGCCAAATTCTACTTAGTGCGATATGCACAGACGTTTCTATTTACCCTATATTTGATGAAGGCTCAGTAAAATCAGCAGTTCATTGAATAGTTTTCCCCAAAATTTATCATTGCAATAATTCAGGGCTGTAACATTTTCAAACATGAACTTTTAATGTCCGTAGTTTTGGAATTCATTTTCTTGCTTCCATGGGGCAAAGAAATGAGAATCAATCTTTAATTTAATCTTTTTTTAAATGTTAAAAATGTTTAAGATGCAGCTTTAAAAAAAGTGTAATTTAATGATGAATGTTAATGTTTAGCATAAAGAAAAAGGTTTGGATAGGATAATGTATAGTCACTGAAGAATAGACAGTGAATTAAAGGGTTAAACAGACAAGATTCCCCAGATTTGCACATGTTCTACTATGTGATATCTCAATTTATGAGAAAGTGTGTGGAAAACCTTTTATGTCCTGTGAGACAGCCGGTGAGTCACCTTCTCTTGGGAAGCAAAGGTCTCCTTTTTGACAGTCTTGCCAACATGGCTGAAGGTTATATATGTGGTATGCTATGTTTGCAAATCTCATTTAGGTCCACAACGTTCAGTTACTTACCATCTGCCAGATCTCAACTACTAATTTGCTTTTAAGGGAATTCAGCGTCACTGAAAATACTGAAATCACAAAGAACGGAAGTAAGGAATAAGAAAGGCAGACCAGTTAAGAAGAAATATGAATTATTGTTTATTATTTCCACTTCTCATCCCTGTGAGATTCCAGGGAGCAGATGTGGATCCGGCAGCTGTTGAATCACCCTAACCCTGACTCCTCACTTCTCCTTTTTTGTGCAGACATAAATGAGTGTGAGGACATCAGCGACAACGTGCCCCTGTGTCAGAACGGACAGTGCTCCAACACAGAGGGGTCCTACAAGTGCACCTGTTTGCCGGGCTTTGTGGCCTCTTCCAAGCCACACAAATGCATCCCAACGATCCCAGAGTCCGGGCTGAGGGAGGCAGGAAACTGAAAAGGGGATTGTTGGAACGTGGATGTTCTCCTGCTCCCCCTCAGATAATCCCTCTGCCCTTTTCCCAAAAGGGGCTGGCACTAAACCTCTAACAGTAACACTGAAACGTCCAAGCTTTTATCCCTACATACCAAACACACACATAGCCAGAGACAAGAACATAGAGAAGCACACACACTAACACAGATTTGTATTTCTTTCATACACGTTCAAGAGGAAAAGAAATTGAGCAGTGAATGTATTATATGGGATTTAGTATTCACCAGACATCCGCTTGCCTTAAAGGGATTTTGTGGACTGATCTTTTATATTCAGTGACCCCAGGCAATTTGATATGCAGATATTCTTACCACATTATTTTCTTTGTCAGTTTCCTTTTGTAAAATTGTGTTATTTATTTAATTGACACAAGGGGCCTCGGCAAAATAAGAAAAGCAATCTGTTTCAGAGGGCAGACTTGATTCCTCTTGTTTTATTTGTCGCCAGCTGACGACAGAGACATTGGGGGAGATGATAAATGTATTTTGTACAAGAAGGAATGTCACAGTTTGTGATATATAAGCTAGACAAACAAATAATAAATTCTTTCCCACTGCTGCCTTTTTTCAAGATCCAAGCCAAGTTGAAGATTCTTTGGACCAAGAACCAGGAAGTCAACACAGCCAAACTTTGACTTTAAAAAGCTTCAGCCTTGATGTGGAGAGACCGTAGATGTATATGATGATCTGTATCATATTCTGAAAATAGGGCAGGAGATAGAACCTGCAGTTCTCACTTTTTACACCGTTTTCACAGATTATAAAACTGACCCCATTTTGTTCAGCATTTTAACAGTATTAACTTCTTTTATACTTACGGAAAAATGAGAAAATACAAAAAAAAAGTAAAAGAAACACTTGACTTTGAATCTGCTTGTTGTTTAAAATTCTAAAAGCACAATAAAAAAGTTTGCTTTGGTGAAATGATCCACAAAAATGATCTCTGCTTTAAGTGAGAAAATAGGTTTTTCTGCATGACCATCGCACAGAGTAAAGGATTTCTCATCCATCTTCAAGGCAATTAGATCTCCCATTACACCACTCCCATGTGTGCAACTCCACATGCATGCAAAGACAAAGGCTTAGTTGGAGAGGTTTGGTATATTTTGTACAGTTCTAGTACTATATATTATTTTTGTTACATATTATATCAATACATATAACACACCATTATTTTTATTTGACATAAAGCAACAAATGTAAGAAAAATCTGGCATTACAGTTTTGTAGATTTATATGTGACTGTAAAAATGTTTTTAAAGCATATCTTTTAATGTATGAGGAGAGTGGCTGACACTGTACCATAGGAACTGTGTGAATACTCTGCCCTGTGGAGCAGACAATGAATTATATATTTTTTGGGAAGTGGCAGCACTGTTCAAATCAGACATTCTGTTCCCTTCAGTTCATTAGAAAGACAATAATTTCTAAATAAATACAGTAAGAGTGAGAAAGAGTGAGCATTATTATGGTTAGTATCTGATGGATCCTTTTGTAATTTCTGTATCTTTAACATCTTCAGCATTCTCAATTGGTTTTTTAATCCCTTTCACTCCTTTTTGTCTTTCATATTTTGTCTTTTATGATCAGTAATCTACTTAGAACAGAAACATTAAGATATAATAATACATTGACAGGATAACTATGGTTTGTAATTGTATGTCATTAACCAGCATTCACAGCCTTTAAACCTACAGTTGTATAAATGTTTTCACAATGCCACTGCACTACTCTATGCTGTTCAAATCAATAACAGAACCAGACCATACATCTAATAATGAGGTTTATGATGAAGTATTTAAAGAATTTCAAAACATTTGAATAACTTGAGAGAAATGTTGTTAAGTTGTGGTCAATACCATGCTTATTTGTTTTGTTTACCTCTTGACTGTAATCACTACCAGTCATCAAAATAAAACATGAAAACATCAGACTCTTTATAGTTTTCTATGAAAAATGGCACCCGAATCATTTGCATTTCAGATTTTGTATGTGTGGAGAACAAGCACACAATATAGCACCCATCAGTAATGGCAGTTAGATGTTATTGTTGCACAATGCAATGTTTTCCAAAGTTTCACTCAGGAATGCACATGGATGATTGTTTCTTTAGTCTCTTGGAAAAATGACTGTAACTGTGACATGTTTGGCGTTGTTAGGAGTTTTTCCCCTTTTTATCTTTCACAGCATCTCCACACAAAGACTGAACAATAGCAGAAACCAAATGTGCTGTAAATTATCAAAACACTTAAGTTGACCGACCCATTGGCAGACATGTTCAACAGTTTATTTCTACAGTATTCAAATGTTAGATCTACTATTAACACAGTATGCCCTGTTATTTTATTTTCTACTCATTACTTTTTTATATATGACAACTGAACAATTTGAAAATAATATGTTTTAATCTAAAACCAATAAAAGGTGCTGTGACTTCCAAAAATGTTGGCACATTTAAATAAATAAGTCATGACATTTCTCCTCAACTTTGGGGATAGGGTTAGGGTTTTTTTTATAACAGAGGCTGAAATCTTCTGTTTCATTTGTATTTATCCATAACTTTAGTCTGGAGACACATATTGTAGCCTACAAACAGTCAAACCTGAAATAAAAACAATAACTTATTGTACAATATTTCCCTCTAGCGGTCAAACACCTGAACTGAATCATGAATCTCCTTATGTACTTTTCAGTAACTTCTATTTATTTGTGTTTTCTCCTTGTGACCCTTCTGTGTGTAAATGGTCATCCCTCGTGCTGTTCGGGCTGGGTCTTAAGAAACCCTAAATGGACTGGGACTACACAGATAGTGAGCTCTCTGTCCAACTGCTAGCCCTCATGATCCTTGGATTTCTCCGCAATGAGCCGGGTGTGTCTCGTAGGAATTTTGGGAAATGGTGTTTATCCAGGGAACTCGGTCCTACCCCTGTTGGAATACACTTCCCATAAGGCAACGCTCTCGGTCGTGTGCTGTTGACTCCGGCTACGAGCTCTCGCGCGGTGCCTGCCTCCTTTACGAATCACTGGGTAATAACGGCTATTCGAGCTGATAGAGGACGTTAGCATTAGCTAGCATCGCTTTTTAAATGCCTTTGGCCAAGAAAATGATTAAATTGAGAGCTACATTACGTGCTGTTATGTTCTAGAAAGTCTCGATAGCGCGGTAGCAATGTAACTAATATCATGTGCGGTGAGAGGTGTGTCATTTACTGTCCACATCACCTTTTTCACACGGTGTTGAGAACTCTTTAGTGACCCAGCATCAAACGTCTTGGCATATTTGCTAAATGTAGTTATTTACCTCATGACTTCGCAGAACGGCATACCTTTTAGCGTTATCAACCAGTTTTTATGTTTCATAACATTTCATAACATTTTTTCTACAAAAGGTGACCTGGTTGTTTTAATAAAGATTAGATTTCCTAATGGCACAAGAAGAATGCACTTCTCAAAGGAAAGAAACAAACACTGTAACACTTCGAAACAGAAAAATCCACTCCTCTGCAGGACATTCTAATCAGTCCCAAATCACTCCTGTATCAAAAGACAAAATCTCGAGAGATTATGGATGCTTGTCAAATGAAGACACCGGGTCCTCAGATGGCTCATCACCTGAGTTTGTGGGCAGAGGAAGTAATGGCTTCCACAGCAAACTGCTGCTGGTTCTAGTCGTGGGACTATCTTTCTCTACCCGCCTCTACAAGATAGCAGAGCCCCCACACGTCTGGTGAGTACAGGTGTCCACATGTCAGTGCATTGTGTTTGTGCGGCATTTCCATCCTCTGTGTGCTCCTCTGTGTGTTTCAGCTGGGATGAAACCCACTTTGGAAAGATGGGAAGCTACTACATAAACAGAACCTTCTTCTTTGATGTCCATCCTCCTCTTGGAAAAGTGAGATAACAGAGCATTGTGGGCTGGAGAGTCCTTAGGCAGACCCTAGAATGAGATTCTGGTCTCTCCCTGTTGCAGATGCTGATTGGTCTCGCCGGCTACATGACCGGTTACAACGGCACCTTTCCTTTCTTGAAGCCAGGAGACAAATACGAGAACCACAAATACTCGGGGATGAGAGCGGTATGCTGCTTACATTTACCTTTAAATGTAGGCATTTAGCAGACGCTTTGATCCAAAGCGATGTATAAAAAGAGGGTGTAACATTCAACTACAACACCCGTTACACACTTACTTTACCTCCAGTGCTCCTGCTTTAAAAACGCTTGATGTACTAAAGCTTCTGTTTTCTTTCTTGACTCATTTTGCACAGTTCTGTGCCGTGTTGGGCTCCTTCCTCCCGGTCTTTGGCTACCTCACAGTGTTTGAGCTGTCTGAGTCTCAGAGTGCTGCTCTTATCACTGCCACCCTCCTCATTTTTGGTTTGTGAACTACCATTTTGTTTAGACGTTTTAAACACTTTAAACTTAGCTACAGGTACTGAATATTTCAGTGACTTGGTTATTAACTAATGCAAATATAATACATATATAAATATTATTACACTTCTAAAATCATCGGTGTTTCAATCCAGATGATGAGTAAATTCTTTGAATGACCTCCCTGACAGACACAGGCTGCATCACCATCTCTCAGTACATCCTGTTAGACCCCATACTCATGTTCTTCATCATGGGAGCAGTGCTGAGTATGGTCAAGTTCAGCAAGCAGAGACACAGGTAAGAATCCACTAAAATCTTTATTTAATAGTTAGTTGGTTCCTAAGCAGTAAAGGAAAGAAAAAATGAATGAATCGCTCACTGATTTGATTTTGAGTTTGAATTAAGCTTAAGTTCTACTTAAATAAAACTACAGAATAATAGACTGAACTTTATACTTAAAGGTTTTTCTTACTTGCTGATGATGTTGGAACCTGTGATATAAATATTGTAAGAAATGTTTTTTCTTCATTTCAGTGAACTCTTTTTTGCTGCTGACTGTTGTTTTCAGGCCTTTCACTGCCCCCTGGTGGCTGTACCTGGTACTGTGTGGTTTTAACCTTGCTGGGGCTCTTGGTGTTAAGTTTGTGGGTTTATTTGTCATCCTCCTGGTGGGGCTGAACACAATCTGGGACCTCTGGAGACTTTTGGGAGACCTGAATCTCTCACTGGTAAACAGTAGAACATTTTGAAAATAGTGACTGTTCACGTTGGTTAGTTATTCTTGAAATTTGAATCCATGTCCTTAATCTCCTCTGGCTCCAGATGGACATTGCTAAGCACTTTCTGGCTCGGGTTGTTGGACTCATTCTGCTTCCAGTCTTCCTCTATATTACAATATTTGCTGTCCACTTTGTTGTGTTGAGCAAAAGGTAGGTGTGATAAAGAAGGCAGGATTGCTGTATTATTGCACATTTTTTGAGCAAACACAATTGTTTTTTCTTGGCAGTGGACCAGGCGATGGTTTCTTTAGTTCTGCCTTTCAGTCCCGCCTAATTGGGAACAATCTGCACAATGCATCCATGCCTGAGTGTAAGTCTCAAATGTTGCTACAGATATGTTAACACAGAGGTCAAGGAGAATGTAAGCATTCCTCCAATGTGTTTTACATTTTTTGTATACCAGTTTAATTTTTCAAGCTTGTTTATGAAAGCTCCGTTACAGATTTGGCATGAATGTAAAGGATAATTTCTAAAATGCTTAAGACGGTTTTTTGAGTTGATGTTTTCATTTTACATGATGCAAACACGGTGGATCCTCTGTTTTCCTGATGCAGACCTGGCCTATGGCTCCACCATTACAGTGAAAAACCTCCGTATTGCTGGAGGTTATTTACACTCTCACTGGCACTTATACCCAGAGGGAGTGGGAGCGAAGCAGCAGCAGGTTAGACCTCAAGTGTAACTTTGAAATACTCATTTTCATTGGTGAGGTGTGTTTTACCTCCTCTTATTTGTATTGAATAGGTGACTGCCTACCTCCATAAGGACTACAACAACCTGTGGCTGGTTCATCCACAGGATGAAAATAATCGTAAGGAAATGGTGTTGATCAACCTTTCAGACTGTCCTTTTATGGTTGTTTCTCATTGTTATTTGTTGATTATTTTAGTTCTGAGTTTGATCCTAGTTAACTTCCAAACTATGTTGGATGTAGATTTGAGGACTATTTTTTTTTAAAATGCATATTATCATGGACTTCTTGTGAGGCTGGCATTGAGTAGATGTCTTTACACAGTCATTTAATGTGCCAATTTCTTGTTTTTCAGCTCAGTCAGAGACTCCTGATCTGGTTCGTCATGGTGACATAATTCGATTGGAGCACAAAGAGTAAGTATCTTGGGCGATTTTGCCAATTAGGCTTCCCATCCATTTAAAAAAAAAGTTTGTCATACTCTTTATTCATTTCAGAACAACCCGTAACCTTCACAGTCACCTCCATGAAGCCCCTCTAACCAAGAAACACCTACAGGTTACCGGCTATGGAACTGTGAGTTAGTCTCATTTTTCAGGTGACAGTTAATGAGCCACCCTGTTTATCTTATTAGCTGCCTGGTTGTTTGTATCTCTTCCGTGTTAAAATGCTTTTGGGGGGTTCTTAGAACAGAACCGGAGACGCCAATGACCTGTGGCAGGTGGAGGTGTGTGGGGGCCGAAAGGGCGACCTGGTGAAGGTTCTGCGCAGCAAAGTCCGCTTTCTGCACAGAGCTACCGGCTGTGTGCTTTATTCCTCGGGCAAGACTCTTCCAAAGTGGTAAAAGTGGCAGTCCTCTCATCTCATCTTAATTTGCTTTTCTGTGTAGAGATAGTCAGTATGCACATCAGATTTTGCCTGTGTGCAGGGGCTGGGAGCAGATAGAAGTGACCTGTAGTCCCTACTTGAAGGAGACTCCAAGCTCTCAGTGGAACATTGAGGATCACATCAATCCCAAACGTACGCTAAACGCAGCACATATGCTGGAGTTTTTTTTCTGTATTTCCTGATACAAATACTATCTGATATCTTAATATTTATTTGTATATGTCCTGTTAGTACCCAACATAAGTCTGTCTGTACTGAAGCCAAGTTTTCTGGAAATCCTACTAGAGTCACACATTGTTATGATAAGGGTAAGTAACCAACTAGAATGCCCTCAGTTGATGTACATTTTCAAATCTACTCATTTATACATAACTGTATGTCATTGTAGGGTAACAGTGGCTTAAAACCCAAAGATAATGAAATGAATTCCAAACCTTGGCATTGGCCCATCAACTACCAGGTGAACCGAATGATTAGTAGTTTGCTGGTCTATTTTCTATTTCTATATAACTGTTCTGAAGACTTAATGCTGTTGGTGTGTTTTCTTATAGGGATTGAGGTTTTCAGGAGTTAATGAGACAGAGTATCGCATTTATCTGCTGGGAAACCCTGTAAGCTCTTTAATAATGCTTATTTTTCCTATTGTCATTCTCATCTGACCACAACAGGTTAACTCATAAAGAAAAATACTCATACTGTTCTTTAGGTGGTCTGGTGGATAAATCTGGCCAGTTTGGGGTTGTACCTCATCATGGTGGCAGTGACATCTGTAGTCATCCAGAGAGGATTATCACTGGGGCAAAAAATAAAAGGTATGATTTTTGATAACGTTGTCACTAACATACAGACACGAGTTAAAGCGATTTTTTTCCGGTCAAATAAATATCTGTTAATCTGTTTCAGAATATTTACATGTGCTCTCGAAAGGAGGAGGCCTTCTGCTCCTTGGCTGGCTGCTGCACTATGTCCCTTTCTATACTATGGGTCGTGTCCTCTATTATCATCACTATTTCCCTGCAATGCTCTTCAGCAGCATGTTATCAGGTACCCTGTCCCACAGCAGTGTTTCCTATATGTAGAAAATCTGAGACTGAGTAGTGAGTGTAGAAGGAGAAATTGCCTTTATGTGATTTTTAAGATGAAAAGAAGCACAGTTAACATCCAAAATAGCATTTCTGAGTCCTAATTGTGTCCACATTTATTACATAATTGAGTAAGCAGACTTGCTTGATCTATTTGTAGCTTTTGTAGATTCTAAAATAATTTTCTTTTAAAGCTGGGTGCTACTAAAAATAACGCAGCATCATCATCATTTTTGGGGTTAAATCACTCTGCATGTCACAGGAATCACATTAGACCTCCTGCTGAGAAGTGGCGACCTGTTCCTCCCACCGACTTACTCTGATTGGCTGCAGAGAGGCGGGCAGATGGCCCTTCTGTTCAGCGTTCTGTACAGGTGAGCTCAGGATTTATGGAGGAATATTTTGTTTGTTCACATCACCACTTGCTTGACCTCAGTGTCACCTGCTGCACTTTAGAGATTTCTCGTGATTATTTATTCATGTTTCATTCTTATTTCTTCTTGGTGGTCCCTGTAAATGCCTTCTAAAATGTTTGTCAGTTCATTTACTCAGCCCTGGGTTGAAATGTAGCAGTAGTAGTAGTAGTATAGTAGTAACTGATACAACTAAGCAATATTCTTATGAGATATTTTCGGGGAAACTCAACTTGTGGTGTTGAATTTTGCTCTTTTTGGCATCAATAAATGTTCAAAACATCAGTGCTAGAGAAAGTTATAAATTAAACCGTTCCCTTTTTATTTTGATGTTAGATCTCATATGCTTTTACCTGATCAATGAGAAGTGATTTATTCATGTACATCCTTTTATTGTTTTCTGCCAGTTTCTACCTGTTTAATCCGCTGTCATACGGCATGACGGGTCCTTTATCACACGAACCCGGCAGCATCATGGCTGGCCTGAAGTGGATGGACTCATGGGAGTTTTAGCACAAACACAACACCAATGTTCTGATGTATGCATGCTGTTCTAAGTATGAAGGTCTCAAAGTTTCTTGGACTGTTGGTGTTTACACATAGATATTTGTGTATGAGAATCTCCCGGTATTTTCGGTCACTGTATTCCATGTGCTGCAAGCTATGACAGTTCAGGCATTTGATGAGACCGACATATATTCCAACAGTATAAAGGACAGTGTTGTGGAGTCTATGAAAATAAAGTAGACTTTAATAGTCACCAAGCTGCCTTAAGTCACAACACAGCTTCCATCTGTGTTAAGAAAGTGCCTTAGAGAAACAGTTGTGTGGTCACCCTAAATGAGGGGAAATGAGACATTTTCCTGATTGTATGAAATCACATGTTTGGTTACCATTTTTCAAAGAATTTATTTTCACTCCAACTGTTCAGATTCTTTGTGATGGAATGTTTTTTTTAATTGTATGTAGCCATTAGTGTTGTCTGTTGTGGCTACTACTGAGTCTGCTTACATTTCAGTGTGGTCAATAAATAGTGTTATTCTTGTATTTTCTGCTTTCTTGTAATAAATCCTTTAATAAAAGATGAAACATATTTACAAATGGGATCAAATTAAAAGCTAATTCTATCCAAATGATTGTATCCTAGAAAATGGTATCTTGAAGTAGCACATTAAAACAAGTAAAATGATTTAAATAACTCAGACAAGCTCACTTTGCCTCATTTTGCCTTCATAGGCAAAATGACTGTGAATCTATTGTCCTGATCTCTTGTCCATCAACAACTTTTACAGATTATTAAACCCTACTATAGGGCAAATACCTTTAGCATGAAAGATCCAATAGTAAATACAAAGAAAAGTTTACATTCACAAAACAATTAGGGAGGACAAGGAAAACAAACAACCCAGCCACAATCCATTTTCTTTGATCCAATTTTTCAGATTTAACCTTTATTTAGAACAGAAATTTGACTGAACTGAAAATATCCTTAATCCTTCCTCATTGAATGCTTATGCACAGCTGAATATATTAATTAGAAAGAGCAGTTAAAAAATAGTTTGATGGCATACAAAATTCTAGGCATTTATTTGGATCATTGCTCTGAAAGGAGCGGGCTCTGACTGGAGAGTTTAAGTAAGCAATGACCCGTGTGTTTTCCACTTCTTTCCACGGCCTCTGGTGGCGCGCCTGAGAAGTACATAGCCAATCGTCAACACTGCCTGTGGCTGCTGCCATTGGTTGTCGTTCGTCACGTGATTATTGTGAAGATGGCGTCTCCAAATGGAGGTAAATTCTAATTCCTTACTCCGATAGTCCATGAATAAAACGCAAATTGAACCTTTTAAAACAAACTAAACCTCAAATAGGCGAGGCACTGTTCTAGTAGACCTGACAGAGAGAACAAAATACGCATTTTAGCTCTGTATTTATACTGTACGGAGATGTTTTTTCGTTTATCAAGGGTCCACTAGCACCGGTGTTGTTTGTGTCCACTGTTCAGAAAAGCAGTGTCCAGCTGGCTTTATCATGCCGTACAGCAGCTCCCACAAAGCTGATATCGTGGGTGCTACGAGCTTTTAACTGGCTGGTCTGTCGTATAAAGGCTAATATAACCTCTATCTTCGTCATGATTTGTCACATAGTGTTGATAGTTGCACAATATCGTGTGTATGGAACATTAGTGGTGGCAGTTCCTGGTTTAATTTTACTGTTTAATATTCAAAATCACGTACACACATATATAATAATACAGATCAAACAAAAGAGAAAAAACAATAGGTTTAGTGTTTTCCTTTGAGAATTATAAGTCTCTTTTATTTGAGAAACAGGAATGGGTCAATGCCAGATCTGCACAGCACTTTTGTGGACATGTTTTATTGACATGAACATAGAATATTTTTGTTGGCCTCAGGGATAGTTACATTGAATATAGTTCTTCCAGAAAAACTGTATCACAGCGTACACAAAGTAAAGATTCATATACCTCTGCCACAAACTGCTGTGTTGCAACAGATTGTGTTGCCCTGTTATTTGATGTCCAGGTATTGAATATCTTCTTTTATTTAGGTGCCTTATTCAACATTAAGATCTTGTATAACAATCTTAGGCAGAGTTATCTTTCAGTGGTGTTGTGTTTTTGATATTATGATGCCTGTATTGCTGTAAACAAAGCAGGGAGAAATGATCAGAAACACTAGCGGCTCTGCATCAAATTTTCATTTACACATCTCTGCCAATGTCAAGAGAAACTGTTTTCTGCTAATTAAATGGAGGAGCTATTTTGTTTAAATAGCAGCCATTTTGATGTTTCTCAGTGATTACCAGAATTCAGTGTTTCATCCTAACGTAAAGCTGAAGATGCCTAATGGTACTACACTGGTTAAATTACCAGTGTTGAAGGCAAAGTTTAATATGTTCCATTTTTTAAGCATTTATGTAAAGAATGGACAAGATTTCAGTTATTTCTGTCTTTTTTTTCTTTTTTTCTGTTTTATAACGGAGCACACAGTTGGCTTGGTTTGTGTGGTGTAGTGTCTAATTCGCACATTTTACAGCCAACAGAAGCTTTCCTATTAAACCTGATGGTGTACACAGGCTGTATGGTTTAAGATGTGATCAGAGCATCAACCATGCATACCCACACAGACACAGGGAGAACATGCAAACTCCACACAGTACCCTCTTGCTGTGAGGCGATGGTGCTCACCTCTGTGTGATTAATGCTGTTAAAAAAATATACATATCCAAATGTACCCTTGAAAATTGGTTCCTCGTCTTGTCAGGTGATGATTTTGAGACTTCTTTGCTGAGTATTGAGAAGCTGGACCGAGCATCACCAGACCTGTGGCCTGAGCAGTGTAAGTTTGTACCCCGCCCGACCCTCTGTAGCTTGTCTGTGGCTTCGTGTTTAATCTGAAGCGCCCTCTTATTCCTCACACAGTGCCTGGAGTTGCTGAATTTGCAGCGTCTTGTAAAAACGTGAGTTAGATTTCCATTTGCTAGCTGTGGTTCACAATCTCTATAGAGGGGTTGCCTGTTGAAATCTTTCTTTATTTTTCCATGTCACAGCCTATAATTAGCTCCCCTCCCAAGTGGATCGCAGAGCTGGAGAGCGAGGACATTGAAATGTTGCGAGGTTTGTGTAAACTGCAAATGCTTCCAAACTATTCTGTGTACCTGCAACTGTTGGTGTTAAACTATATGACCGAAGGGAGAGCTGACAGAAACAGCACGAGCGTGTTTTACATGTAGCTAACAGCTGTTTTATGATCTGCCGTCTCTCTTTAGAGTTGGGAAGTCTGACCACAGCCAACCTGATGGAGAAGGTCAAAGGACTTCAGAATCTTGCTTATCAGCTGGGTTTAGAGGAGTGTGAGTACAAAAACAAGGTGTTGGTGGGGATGCACCTCGAAAAGGAATCTTAAAGGTGGTTTTGTTTTTCACTTGTTCTGATCTGTGATATAAATCCGAAAAGTGGCTGAGAGGAGCTCCGGAACAGATCGGTTGTAGTCTGAGTCGTCCTGGTTTGTGGCTTCTTACCACCAGATGGCGCTTATAGCCTTCAAGCTTCCCTGTTTGTGGCTACATTCATGTTTAGATTCCACACTGTTTGGCTGGGCAATTTACTCTCCAGTCAAACGGCAGAAATAAGTAGATCTTGCGCTCTTAAAATAATGGATTTAGGTCAATCTTGTTAGGTGCGAAAAGTTAAGAAAGAAGAGCTCATTGAACAAATGCTTAGACATTTGATGGATGCAAAATCCATTTAATCCATTCGCCACCGCCACCATTGTCATAATCCTTGTGGAGTGGGATTAGAGAGTTGTAGCTAAGTGCTCATATTATCCTAAGAGGAAAAATGAGTATACATTTGTCTCATGAAACAGCACTGGTTTTGGGGCATTCCCTTATTACTGGGATGAGATGTATGAAGTTATTCACACGGGTTTGTCCTCCTAGTCATGTAACAGCATGTCTGCTCACACAGGGAAAGTGACAAGAGTTTAAAGTGTAGGACCTTCAGTAGGTGCAGCTTTTACAGCTTTCAGACCATGTCGATGTGATGTATAACTTTGTGAGTCCTTGATAGAAATTAGATTTGGATTGCAGGAACATTTTTAAAAGATCTAACACATCATCATTAGCTTTTACTACAGAGTGGTATAAATGCTAACAGTTTGGTGCAGGGGTGTTTTCTAAAGCTAATCTCTAGCCTATTTAGTATTGATCAATTTTGTTTAACTGAAAAATGGTTCATTCTGTTTGATTTTCCTCAACCAGAAGCAGCATGTAATCTTGCTGGTGTGAAGATGTTAGCTGTCAAAAGGTGTTGGACTGCAGGCTTTGCAATCCCGTCATGTACCTCAGGATGACGGGACACAATGATGGTTATTATTGGTGTCAGAGCAGCCCTGTAATCGGTGCCTGTTTAATGCTCTCTGGTTTAATTTTCTCCTTTTCCTGGCTGTCAGGGGAGAGCCTGTAAATCTCAGCTACTTTTTCATCATGTTTGTGCACTCTTCAGTGCCCGTAAACATCCTCCGCAGGGGCACGGCAGAGCGAGGGCAGGGGACAGGATTTACTGCCCCTCCCCCTTCAACATGTGGACCATTAAAGCGGGAGCGGGTTAATGGGCTGAGCACAATCAAGCAGTGAAAACTCACCCCACCCGCCGCGGCGAGAAAGTGGGCTTAAGCGGGACGAGCACAGGTTCCCGCCCGCTCCTTTGCACAGCCGCATTTTTACATACCGATTGACATGGATGTGAAGGGAGGATGTAATACACACTCCTCCTCTCACACGCTCCACCACCCCCCCCCAAAAAAAAGGTTGTGACACGACGCTGGCCCGGTGCGTCCCACAGGGGCCTGACGCGTGCCTCCTCTTCAGGCCCCAGCTGTTACCCTGCCCGGTGATGAATGCCCCAGTCGTGGGCTGCTGAGCATGGGCATCAGGCCCCCGCTCTCTGGGGGACGCTGAGGACTCTGATAAGTGCTGATATTGGAAGTAATTGAAAGCTGAGTGCTCCCTTGGGACGCGCTGAAGGGCCTCAGCAGCTGCGGCGGCTGGTGACACGGCTGCAGGGGGGACATTTTCACACTTGTGTGCTCGAGGCTACTGAATACCATCTGACAGTTGTCTCCCCTGGCTGTGACGTTCTTATGGAGGCGTTTGCTGTGGATCATATCTCAGATCTTGTATTAGGGATTAGCGGACCTTTCACCACTTGCTTGTTAGACATCCAAAGATTTTCACATGTTTGTGTCGCTCTTTATTAATAAATGCAAAGTGTAACAATTCAATTGAATATTGCAAAGTATGTGTTTATCAGCAGGTAAGGGAGGCATCCATGTGCACAAATGATAATGAGAGCAGCGTCTTTTTCTCCTGAAAGAAGAATTTGGTTTTCCTCATTTAACTTGGGAATTTGAATTGAGTCTCTCTCATTGAAGTCTGGCTGAACGTCGATCCTTTGCGATGAGCAATTGATATTCGAAATGTACCCGAAAGGTACCTGGTTATCATATTAAAATGACTGCAAGCGCATATCTTCTCAACATGCTCAGATATAGCATTTTGCTCCCACTTTGAGTGGGTCCGACAGACGGGGGAAAAATGTTTAACATAATAGAAAAGACGAACTCTAGATGGCTGTTGAAAAGCGTTCTCTGGGGCCACCTGTTGAAATTCCTTTCACACACGAGATCAACTCTGTTGAAGTTGCATGCCGCCTAGCATCGAGCCCATGTGACCCCTGTTGCATCCGCCTGTTTGAAGGTGAGGCTGAAGGGCGCCCTTCCCTGACAGCTCCTAATGGGCCTGCCGCCGCCGCCACCTCCGCCTCACCCTCAGGATCAATCTCCAGCCTATTAGAAGCGTGCCGCCGCTGAATGTGATTGCATTCACCGGGCCCCACTCGTGCTAATGTGCCTCCATCAATCCATCAGGGCGGGCCGGCCGAGGGGCGGGCGGTTATGAAGTGCCCGAGCTGACAGCCGCCGAATGAGGAACAGGGTGTGCCTCCCCACCGCCGCCACTGCTCCTCCTCACCTCAGCTATTTCCCCACGCTCATGTTTTCACATATCCTCTGTGTCTCCTTGGGCTCAAAGGGGCCGCCAAACGGCAGAGCGAAGGCGCGTCCCCTTAAAGACGACACAGGCTGAAGCAGCATCCTGATGGTTGTTAGAAACCTCGAGCGGCCTTTGGCCCTAACAGAGGCACGACTTATGCTCTCAGCTACGTTGGAAGCCCATTTGTAAGTTTCACACACGTTTTTGCTGCAGCATGACATAAGCGTCTCCCTCCATTGTGCAGCGTGTTGCAGCTGCATCCGACAGAGCGTGTTGGTATCTTAAGCGGGATCGGTGTCGAAGCTGGGCGAAGGAGGAGGAAAGCAGCGCGCGGCACACACACTCCCACACCGCTCCTCTGTGCTGCCTGCCGCCTCCCTGAGCAGATCGGAAATGACATCTCATTTCCATAAAGGCATTAGGAATTCATTGGATTTTCTTTCCCAGCTAATCATAGCGCGGGTGTAAAACCTTTTAGGCTTTTTAATGAATGATTTTTGACTGATTGCCTATTAATAAGGACACCTCTTGAACAGGCATAGGCTGGGGCAAGGGTTGGGAGGTGCAGATGTGTTTGTTTTGGTGTGTGTGTGTACGTGTGTGTGTGTGTCAGCCAGGCGAAAATGCGTTGGGGGAGAAGGGGAGGGGGAGGACTCTCTCGGTTGGGACATAAAGAGGAACCAGTGGCTCCCCTGGGAAATCACAGCTCGTGTCTGCATCTTAAATATCCCTGTGAAGTATCAATAAGTGGGTAATTGAATTTTGAACACAAACATGAGCGTCAGGTGTATGTGTTGCAGGGCGGGGGTGTTTGGGCGGCTGCGTCGGATGAATATGTGTGCCTTCAAGTGTTTCCGAGCTCCAGTGTTTGTGTGTCATCTCCTCTGTGTCCCTCTTGTCCCCGGGGAGGAGGGCAGTGAAAGTGGATGTTAAATCCATTAAATAAAGCTTACATCCCGTAATAGCTGAGCAGCACTCAGTGACGGGCAGTGAGGGTCAGATAAGTCCTCTTAACTCTTAATGAAAGTGAATTTGGGCCGTCAGGGCCGGGGTCCGGACTCCAGTTAACCCAGGTGGTCATCTGTCACAGCAACCAAGAAGGCGCCAGGAGCGTGCCACCGAGAGAGAGGAAGGGGGGGGGGCTTTTTAAGTGATGATTACTCTCATTTTATACACAGGAGACCAGGGGTGGGGGCGGTGAAAATGACACCCAGATCACTCGCCATAAAGGGGGGGAAAGTAAGATGTTACACCTCCACATATCTCCCTCATTTGCATTTGATCCACCAGGGATTTGCCAAATGAAAATGATTTAGCAGTGTGGAGCAGAAAATTGCAGAAACATTTGTGCCGCCACAGCTTCCTGGTGCCTGCTGTTCAGATTAGAAAAACTAGGCGACATTTTGAGAAAAGCCCCCCTACGACTCTTAGCTGTTTGCAGATGTAGGTTAATCTCCACGGTTGCTTTGGACCAGACATCCCCCCAAAAGCCACAACCGCCTAACAAAAGTTAGGAGCCTGTGGGGAAGAGGAGAAATCGCTTTAAACTTAGACTGTATTTGATAGTGTTTGTTGTTTGTTCCAAAATAGCAAGGCTGACGGGGTTGAAATCTGAGCGGTTAGAGCCAAATGATAATTAGATTGTAAGAAATCAACAGGGCAAGGCGATGGCCTGAAGAATCCATAAGGTGTCATTTAGTATGGATGGCAGTTGTAACAAGATGCTGATTAACTTAGTGCAAAATTAGTAATTGACCTTTCTAATCAACTAAACAAATCTCTAAGTCCCTCTAATCAGTATTGATCTCTCTGAGTGTATGACAAAGCCTGTGTGTAAGTGTTTGTGTGTTAATCAGCATGCCGATGGCTGAGTGTCTACTTAGAGAGGCTTTTTAAACCCTCAAGTTCTTCTGTTTTAGTATGCATTTAATTTATTAGTCCAAAGTTATATAACTTGAAAATATATCTGTTTCAAAGAAAAATGAAAGACATCTGAAACAAGCAAATGGAAATATTTGTATAAAGAAAAGGATTGTAACACCTCATACAGCAGTCACATAAGAGAAGGTAGAAGTTGAATATGGAAATATCAGAAAGATTATCATTAACGGACCTGAACTATGATCGATTTTTAGAATATATATATATATATATAATGTGTGTGTGTGTGTGTACAGTTCCAGTGACCACTGTCACCCCTGAAAGTTGCTTTGCAGCCCTCTGACTTCTGAGACAAGCTGCTGTTTCTCAGATCTTCCAGCCCATCGCAAAACGACTCTAGTTTTGTTGTTCTCGTCGCTGCTCTGTATTCCAAGTGGAAAAACTCACCTCGGCGACTTCTGGGAGGAAGCATTTACATGATTAAAGCAGAACAGTTAGCTGGCTGCTTGTTGGCCTGAAGGGTTCACGTCAGGGCCTGGTCAGTTCGTGAACATGTTTTTAAGTGACGGCTGTCTGTTACTTAACAGTATTCAAAGACCTCCACAGTCATTTTTAAACTAGCATGGATGCTTTTTCAGTCAGCATTCACCACAACAGAGCTGGTGTTCATCCTGAAATTTCTTAATGTACATTGAGAGATTGTATTTTTTTAGTGGAGTCTTGGCTATTTTGATTACATTATTTGATTATGTGTTATTAGGGGGAGGCTTTAATAAAGCTAAGTTGCTGCCGCACTCAAGAAGGAGGATTTGTTTGAAAAGTTAGGTCTGGTCATCAGATGGGGAGGAGATGATGAGAGAAAAGTCACGACACCGTCCGAACGGGACCCGCGGCTGTTTACCGTTCCTGGTGTTACTGCTCCAAAAAGGAGGTGGCACCGTCGCTCTGATAGTTTTAGGGTCAGCCCAGTGTAATTGCTTTCCTCACCTAATTTTAATGGCTTCATTTCAATTTAAAGCACCCTCTGCGTGTCCGGGAGTCCGCTGATGACTTTGTTTAGGGTGATTTGAAGAGACAGCAAAGTGCAAAATGAATCCATCCCATTCCAATTAGCATCATCTTTACCCTAATGATGGACACCTCAAGGTGACACGGCCCCCACGCCCAGATGCACCATTATCATTCCACCTCGGCCAACTCATCTAAATTACTAAATACCTCGTCTTTTTCATTAGCCGCCCTGAGCGTGGCCGCCGGCGCCCCTTTACACCAGCAGCCAATTGCAGTCCTAATCACATTTTCATTCTCTCGTAGGCACTCTGAGAGCGGACGGCTCGCTGCTTACTGCACATTTGAAAAAAAGCCCTCTTTGTTGCTCTGTATTCTTATTTTGGCCTGATGCGGTGAAATTGTTGACCATCCCACAAAGTCATTTAGCAGATCCCATTCTCTCAGCCACCAGTCATACGCTGCAGATAAACTTGTTATTTCTGACAAAGAGTTGAGGATCTGCTGGGGCCTCTCCGGGTTTTCTGTCCATACTTTGAAGGTCTTCATGGACACACAGGGATTTGTGTGTCACAGAAAAGCCTCAGCAATGATTTCCGTCCCGGTGGAAAAGGGTCTCACAGCGGCTGGACTGATTCTGTTCCTGTTCTGTTTCATAGCCAACGTTTCAGATTGACCTCATGTATATTTGATATGCCAGCACAGACTAATTGTATTCTGTTATGCAAGTTCACTAATGTGATTAATTGCATTGCAACCGTTGATGGTTTTTCTAGTAAACATGAATCATTTCCGATAACTTTGGCCCTTAAGAGCCAGTATGAGACGGTGTTTGTGACATGGTACAACAGTGTTGAAGAGAAGAATTCCTTAGAAAATTTATTGTATCTGATTTATTATGAAGATTTAATTTTAATTTAAGATTTTATAAGATTTTATATTAATTACATTTATGCTCCTACTAAGAAGTGACTTCTGGACTGGCCAAGGAAAAACCAGTGGGGCCTAAAAAGGGGCCAGATGTGCCATTTCACTGTTTAAAAAAACATGTATAAAGTGATCCAGTTCTACACTAGAATTTAGAGATGTTGTCTTCTTGTGATGTGCTACCTCTCTATCAAATTTTCTTGACATTTTAAATAAAATAACATGTATGAGTTTAATGTTACAAACAAGTGATACTGAAAAGTGATGTCTCAGTTCCTACAGAGTAATGTGAAGGATTTGAGGACTGTTCCACTTATGGTAAAATAAGCTTTAGTGGCTTCCAGACAAATGTAGAAATACTATCCCCTCCTAAATAGTTTAGTTTGGTCCAAATCTTTGAAGAGAAAATGTCAGGCTGTCTATTATTGCTATCTAGTTAAACTTGTCGTGACCCCTCATACTGAGTGTTTTAACCTTTGGGCCCCATTTGTGTTTTTTTTGTTCTGCTATTTTTAATACAAAGGGCTCAGAGATTAGAAGAGCCCCAATTCGGGTGTCTTATAACTTCAAGTAATTTTCCCATTGTTTATACATTAAAAAGAGTCTTCAGTAGCTCCAGTTTCTGCTGTTGTCCTCTTCCTGAATGAACAGCTGCTTGTATAAATAGTCTCAAAGAATCCTAATGCAGGCAGTTATCACATAATCTGAATTACTAAATAAATTCTTAGAAACACTGCAGGCAATTGCTTTTTCCAATGTCAGTGTTTCTTAGAGGCCAATGACACCAATTAAAATCTCAAATGGTTCCTCAGTACAGACCTGATTTGTGTTACTCTCTGCTGCTATGTGGTTTGTTCTGATCAATTTTTCTTGTGTTTTCTTGCTCTACAGCCAGGGAAATGACCAGGGGCAAGTTTCTGAACATCTTGGAAAGACCCAAAAAATGAGTTGGTGTTTTTTTTATTTTATTTTTTTTCTTCGAGCAACTGGACATTTTGGATTCCACTGTGATCCTAATCTGTTTGTTCGGGATTTCACAACAAAGTTCAAAGACTGTGCGCTCACACACAGGTCCCCTCAGACCCAGACCCGGCATTTCCCCCCTGATGCCTTTACTTTCTCAACTTTTCACTCGATTTCTCTGTGGCTTATTGACCTTTCTTGATTGAATGCTACATATTTATTCTTACTTGTCTTTTAAAGATGAATTACTTTTTTTGATTGGTGAAGTTGTATAATAAAAAATAAAAAAAGAAGATGGCTGTTTCAGTTGCATTTCCTTGAATGATGAAATTAGAATCTAAATCTGCTTCGATGATTCAGGGTTTTTTTTTCTTTTCTTTTCTTTTTTGTATTTTCTTTTTTAATTAGGGCAATAACTTCATTCTTCCTTCATTCCTCCAAGTGCAGCCCCTCTCTGTGGGCATGAGGGGCTCCAGTGATTTCCCGGCTACCCACGTTTTTTTTTCGTTCGTTTTTTTTTTTCGTTTAATGAGCATTGGAAGCAGAGTCTTCCACACAAAACATTGCGTAAAAATAATATTGCTCATTGTCATCGCCGTTAATAGGAGTTGACATAATTACGAGGACCATTTCTTTTCTAATTAGCACACTCCAGCCCTGTCGGAGCTAGTGGCCGGGCAAAAAGGGAACCAGACAGGCATGCCGAGTGGGAAACAAAAAGAAGTCCATCCGCCATAATTAGGTGAGACAATGCCTCGGACTGTTCTCGGCTGGAGATGTCGCTGGCTCCCCACAAGTTACACTTCTCCCCGGGCCCTAATAAGCCCCTAATCGTCTTTCCGATTCACACGGTAAGAGGGGGCTTCCCCCCACGGAACCCGGTTCACCTCTGGGGGGGTTGGGGGGGAATAACCTGGGTCCACTGAATGCAACGAGTGGGCTTCCTGAGGATAAAGTAGAGTCAAAACAACTAAAACAGCTGCTGTCCTCTGTAATCCAGCTGCAGACAGATGTTTAAGGGGAAGCAAAAGTTTGAGGTGTGTGAACACGAGGAGACGCCTAAATCCATTTACTAACCTGCAAACTATGGACAAATCATGGAAACTTAATTATTTCTTCATTACTAAATCATAATTATTATTATTAATAGTATTATTACAATTAATTACCAGCCCTCTCTCCATTCATCCAACCCACACGTTATGTGCTATCACAAAAAACAAAACAGTTAAAGGTGGCAACAGATTTTTTTATATGTGAAACTAAATGTTTTGAATTAACTTTTGGATTCATTTAACTGAGAAGCATGTTTTTAGTGTGAGTAGTGTGTCCTGCTACCCAGACATCATCCGTGGCCTCCTGGTGCGGAACAGTCCAGGAAAGCATCTCAGAATTAAGTCCAAAAGTGTTTGTCCAAAGACTAAATCCAGGTGATGTTGCTTTAGTTGGTAAAGTTGAGTCTAAATCCTGCAGGTAGAAAACACTCGTGGACGCTGAGTGACACTGACCACTGAGTGACACTGACCGCTCCGCTCCCTGGCGTCCTCCATATGCTGACCGCCCTGCTGGCCGGCTGTCAGCCCCTTCAAGAAACAGGTCAGAGCTGCTCATCCATACGGAGAGAAAGTTTTTTTTTTTTTAAAACCGGCGCGTTGCCCTGACCTCGCATAGCCCCCCCGTGCCCCGACGGACGTCAATCCGATGTGGCCCCGGCCCTTAAATTAGCTGTCAATTAGTGCAAATTAATCAACTGCTCGCCTAATTAAGCAATGCCGACGGGCAGCTCCCAAACATGCCATTGTGAGGGAGCCATGAGAAAGCTGCGGGGCTTGCAAACTCTCACTGTGGGGGGGTGAGGGGGGGGAGAAGGAGAAGGAGGCCATGGCCCCGCAGGAGCTTGGTAAGCAGAGGCTCAGCCCCGGACTGCGGTTTTTCTCCCTGACTCTGCGCTACACGTGGCCTGTCATCAAGTGTCCTGCGCCCTGTTGTGGCCAAAGTAGTTTGCATTCTGTTGGAGAACTTTCTCCAAAGCCTACTTTTATTTAAGAGAGTTGGGGGGAATCCATTAATGTTAGATTGCGATAGAATTGATGCGCAAACTCTTCCATAAGGGGGGTGATCATTTCTGTTACAGCAGAGCTGCTCAATCAACATGTGACCTTCCATAAAAATGGAAAGTTAATTTCCAACCAAATTCAGCTTTGCCACTTACATCAGCACAATATGATACTTGATATGCATTAAGGTGGGCGGTTTTAGTTTTCAGCATGCTCTTCATGATGCGGACCACTCCTGTTTTAGCTGTTTAGTCTTAAAAAAAAAAAAAACAGGACACTTTCTGAATAGTCAATCTTTGCATGGAGGGGTAGGGGGGGGGCAGAGTGGGCAGAGCAGAGAAAAGATGCTGGAGTGATGGAGGGGTGCAAAAAAAAAGAAAAAGAAAACAAATCCAACAGCTGTTTGCTCTTTGATCCAGTCAGATCTCGTCAGATCCCACAGGTCTTTCATGTGCGACGCAATCTACTCGAATGACTGGACTAAATCTTCTCTTAATCTATGGAGCCTTAATAACACCCCCACCCCCACCCCCCCTCCTCTCCTTCTGCATGTAAATCAGCGTGCACCCATTTTCACTGAAGATGGATTAACGAAAAACAACAAAAAAAGACATAACAGAAAGAGAAAATAAAACTGTAAACTAACAAAAACAAAATAAAGGAAGTGGTATGGATTGCAGCAGCGGGGTGATGGAGTGAGGCCCTGGATCCAGGCAGTAATTGACGGGTCATCCGGACTCCCACCTTCCATGTTAATAAATGACTCCATCCCAGCAGGCCGCTGCGCCATTAGCATATTCTAATCACATTGATTCCTTCATTAATAGAATTTCCCACTAAATAGGCCCTAATTACTTTCACCTGACCAGCCACTAACTGCAACAGCAATATTTTTTCCTCTTGTTAATCAGCAGCTCATTTTAGGCTGATATAAAATATGACCCCTCACGTGGCACTTTGTTTCAGGCTATTTCCATCCAGGTGTTTATTATCTTAGCTGAAAAAATCCTTCGAAGAAAGAGTTAGAACTATTAATTAACTTTATTTACTTGATTCCTCAGAATCTCTAAAATCACCAAAATCTATAAATAGAATAATAAAGGATTACTGTAACCGCCCCCCCCCTGACCCCAATAAGGATGTTCTGTTTTGTTTTTTGTTTTGTTTTGTTTTTTTGCAATCAACTGACAACGAATACATATAAACCCACATTTAGACATTGTTATTATTATCATTTTCATTATTATCATTGTCATTATTCGTAATAGAATTATTATCTCGTCTTTCATGGGCTGCTACTGTGGGATTAGCGTCCTCCAGGACTCCAGACTGGTCCGTCTCGTCCAGCTGTCGTTGTTGGGAGGGCCTTTGATTTGCGCCTGATGACTTTCCCAGAGCATCTGGAGATCAATTATCCGTTCATGTGAGCCGCTGGCTGCGATGAGAGATCATAGTTGGCTCCGTCTGGGTATATGTGTGCGTAAACCACTCAGCGAAAGGCAATACATGCAGATTTATTCTGGGACATTGAGGTAATTTCCTAAACCTGCAGCATTTCAAAGGCGGCCTAAGTTAGATGGGGTGAGGCAATCATTTGATGAGATAATCTATTTGAGGGGGTTATGATGGCGTTGCAAGTCTAAATCTGCAGGAACAGCCTGATATTGTGGTTTTAAAGCGCCTTAATGCTGGATATTTAATGCATTTAATGTATTTGATATTACTTTTTAGCCATTTTTTCTTCATTCTGCCTTAACGACAGTTATTTCTTATTTTTTCTCACATATATCAAATCTAGCCTGCGTGCATCTACTCAGTTGTCAGGAATATGCAGATAGCAGTTGGAAAAGGCGTAATGCATCTTTGATCCACTGGAATCCCAAATCCTTGCAGCTGATTGGCTGCCGGGTGCTGCCTCTTGTTGGGATGGACCTGTTGGATAAAAGGACCATTTTCTAAAGGACTGCGCGTAGCACAGATGATCATGCACCGGGGTTCCTCCTGTAACGCGCAATAATTAAGAAAAAAATACGCCTCTCCGAAGGAGCGTCGAAGGACACCATGACGGGCAAACAAGGCGCCGTGCTTTCGGAAAGTTTAAATCTAGCCGAGAAAACCTCTCTGGGTGCGAACGGGGGGAGTAACAGCCACCAGGCGAAGAGCAGCGCCACCCATCCCCCGCCCAGGTGCACCGGCTTCGGCATCCAGGAGATACTGGGGCTCAATAAAGAACCGTGCGCGACCCCCCGGAGCCCGCTGGGCTCGCTGCCGGCCGGGGCGCACCTGATCGCGGCCAGGTCCGTGCTGGGGCCCGCCGGCCTGGGCGTGGGCGTCGGGATGGGATTACTCGGCCCCGGCGGGATCCCGTCCTTCTACGGCCAGCCGGCGTTCCTGGAGACGGTGCTGTCGGACAGGCAGGACGTCCACCTGCAGCCCCACGGCCGGTCCGTGGGGCCACTGGACACCAGCCAGTCGGCCAGCTCAGGTCAGATCAGCGTGCAGGACGCATGCCTGTGGCCACTGCCACGGACACGCGTGTGCAGAGAGGCAGATGTGGGGTTTACATCATCATCATCATTATTATAATGATTATTTATCATTATTATTATTACTATTATTATTACTATTACTATTATTATTATCAGTATTATTATTATAAAAACAACCCATTGCAGTTGTGTTTCATTAGATGAAAATTACTGATCAAAATCGTCATTTGGGGGAATTAAAATAGAATCGTTCAAGAGTGTGATTCGATAATTCACCAGTTGTGGGTAAAGTCAGCGTTGAATAATGCTCATTCGTCGTTAAACCAACTGCTTTTCTCTGTTTTGTAATGCAGACTCCGAAGATTTCTCTTCAAACGAACGAAAGCTCTCAAAGTCATCCATAAGCCAGAGCAAGAAACGCAAGAAAAGACGCCACAGGTTCGTGTTCCTTTCTGATCAACGTGGGAGAATTTATAGAAATTGGTAAAAGATCAATTTGCAAAAAAATATACACGCATTGTGTGTATTTTTTTCTTATTTTTCTTTTCATCTCTAAAAATGTTGCTATTTACGTACAGCATTTCCATGCACACTGATTTAACCCAGTTCTACATCTGAAAATAATTTACTAATCAGCATTTGGCAGCCTGTTTTTAAATGATAAAATCATAAAGAACATAAGTATATAACTGTCTTTATTGAGGGGATTTATTCTGATTCGCTTAATCATTTTAAAAAAATGTAATATATTGAAACCATAGTACATAATTTAAATCCCTCTGTTGTCATTACTTTCGGTTGTAGTTTGTTGGTTATTTACACTTTTTTCTTGCTAATATTTTAGCAAACTGCTTCGCAAATTTATCATGTTAACCCCTTTCCACAGGACCATTTTCACCTCCTACCAGCTGGAAGAGCTGGAAAAGGCCTTTAATGAAGCCCATTACCCGGATGTTTATGCCCGAGAAATGCTGGCTATGAAAACAGAGTTACCTGAAGACAGGATACAGGTGAGGTCTTTTTTCTTTTTGTTTTACAAATCATATTTTTACTGGAAATTGTTTCTGAACTTAGTTATTTTTTAAATAACCCATCTTATGTTATAACATTACATCACTTTTTTCTGTTTTCTTAATTAAATAATCTCTATGCCTTTAAATGATAGTGAATGCTCCTGCTGACTGAATATTAATTTGGTATTTATAGTACAGCTTCTTATTCTTAGTCAATCATTTAACCCACAATGGTCAAAGGAATGCTATAGATACTCAATACTAGCCTATAAAAATGATCTTCCTATGTGGAAAAGAATAATTTGCTCGATTTGTACCTGAAATGAAGAATCTTTGTCTTTTTAAATTCACTGGAGGCTTTTTACAGTTTATGTCTTCATAGGGATGTAAAACATTCCAGTTTAAAACATAAACAGCTGCATGAATCGACTACGGAATAGACAATTTATCCACATGTTCCCTGACAGTTTGCCTCATGAACAAACACGTGTCACCAAACCCCCCCACCCCACCCCACCACTGCCAGTCACCTGCTGCACATCTGGACGTGAGGTCGCTCTCGTGCTGCTCTGATGTGAGAGGGGAGAGGGTGGA